AAATGCGAAAAAATGCGGTGATTAACTCAGGGGGGCTTCATTGAAACTCCAACGATAATTCACGGCTTAAGAACCTCGCCAAGCTATTTTGCTCTTCCCAACTAAACCAGTCATGAATGATAGCAGTGCTCGGGTGTATGTGTTAATCTATTCTGGCTGTCTGCAATTGAGAGCGGTCCCAGGAAATAAACCATCCATTGAGCAGAATTTGTTGTTCGGATGTTTAAATGCAAGCTAATATGCAACTAATATGCCTAGGGTATTGTGGCTTTCTATGGCCTGCACCGAATCGACTAGTGTACACGTACTCGCACCCACTACTTATTACATTTTCTGAACGCCATCATTCATTGTCAAATACTAGCCGAAAATGTTGAAACAAGAAAAACCAGGTAATCAAACCCCAAACGGCAGGCGCAACGAGCTCGAACTCGACTGACCCCTTGGCCTTTTTCCCGCTCCTCCTTCCCTCCTCCCCCTCCCCCTCGCCCTCCGCCGCCCTCCTCCTCCTCTTCCCACCCCCCGCGGTACTTGCGCTCTCTCCCCTCGCCGTTCCCCCACCCACAATAGCAACAGCATCCAAACATTCCATATACTCACTCCTCGTCTCCACTCCCGCAATCATCAGAACTTCGCTAAGCCGTCGTTGAACCCGATTTCGGCCCATTTCGCTCGAGTTTGTCTCTAGGTCGGAGAGGAGCTTGAGCAGTAGGACTTGTACACCGTGGGTCAAGATGGTTTGCCTAAATTTTGATGATTCCAGCGCTGTAGACCATCTCAGTAATCGTCGTCAAAACAAAAAGACGAAAAAAGAAAACCGGCCATCCATCTCATCTTTCAACTCCCTCAACTCCCTTTCCCCATCCTCATCCAACGCAACAGGTGTATACCGTGCCATATCAAGCCTCCCGACACCCTTCTCCCTCGCCCTCCTCTCCCTTTCCTTCTCCCGCGTCTCCTTCTCCCTCTCTCGGAATTCACGTTCCTTGTCCCTCATATCTCTTTCGCGCTCTTTAACCCCCCTCTCGCGCTCCTTGACCCCCTTCTCCTGGTCGCGTACTTCAAGCTCGCGCTGCGCACATTCTTGTTCCCTAGAATCGATATCCTTCTCGCGTTCGTCGACGTCTTCCTGTGGTTGTTGCGGTGAATCATCAACTTCAATCCCAACCTCACTCATCAACGTCCCCTCCCCCCGTTTCCTCACCATCCCCTCCAAATCATCCACCCTAAACCAATACAACCTCCCCTCTTCAATCCTCATCCTCTCCTCCTGTATCCTCAACTGCTCCTGTATCCGTAACCGACTCTCGAGGTCCTCCACCCTCCTCGCAGCCAGCACGCAGTTCTCTTCTTCGTCCGGGGCACTGCGACGGTCAGACAGACGATTGGTGAGGTCCTGGATTTGGACGTCCTGCTCCAGAGCACGAGCATCCCGCTCCTTGAGACGCAGTTCCCGTTCTTTTACACGGGCAGAAAGCTCTTGCAGACGCTTATCGCGCTCTTCCGAACTCCTCAAGTCCCGCCTCTGTTCAAGCCTAGCTTCAAGTTCCTCGATACGCGCATCCCGTTCACGAAGACGGTCCTTTCCCTTTGCCGGATCATGAAGACCAGCATGCAGCCCGTCAACACGAGATGCCAGCTCTTCAAGCCGCGTATCCCGTTCTTTCAGAAGCTCATCAAACTCCTGCACACGGGCCTCGTTCTCTTTGAGCAGCGTATCGCGTTCCTGAAGCCCTTCCTCGAGCTCCCTAACATCGGACCGTAAGCCTCCATCATTGAGTCAGGCGTTACACTCCTCCAGATGTTTATCCGAGTCCCTTAGTTGGCCTTCAAGTAGCCGCGCACGTGCATCCCCTCTTACGCGGCCTTCATACTGTTTCTTGAGGGCCCTGTCCCGCTCTTTGAGCGTCGCTTCGAGTTCTTGAACTCTGCGTTTGAGATCTACGGGAGTGATAGCTCCATTGACGGAGGTGCTCCCGGCTGTGCGAGGAGGAGGGGGAGGAAGGAAAGAATCACTTAGTTGTTTCACGCCAGGGCCTGCTAGTTCCTGGGTGGTGGGATGGGCGGTGCTGCTGCGGTTGCGGGTGACGATGGCGCCGGAGGAGGGAGTGGAAGAAACGGGGTTTTTGTTACGAGAAACGTTGTCCAGAGAGGCGGACATGCTGTCGCACAGCTGAGACCATCCCTCGCGCGTGAGATGGTTGCTGGGTGTACGTGATGGTGGCAGTTGAAAGTTGGGTTCTCTAGATGTCGATGCAGACGCAAATAGGATTGCAGGGGAATTAGAGGGAGGGTGATCGTCTTCGTCGGTCTCCAAATCCGACAAACTCTCCAAGTCAGACTCGAGCCTTGGAACTTGCAGTGGTCCACCAGCCGTCGACGCGGACGTGCCAGCAACGGGTTGTCCATTTTGTTGATCCTCGGCAGCAGCCATAGACGCAGACCTAGCAGACCTCCTCTGGGTCCTATCCTTCGCCTTCTCTCCCTCGCCTTCCTCGCAGAACCCTTTCTAGTGCTCGCCGCTGCCACTTCCCCGGCTTTCCTCGTACGACTCGATACTGCTCGGAAGTCTCATTTAAGATGCCCAGATCCCCAGTGACGGTTTCCATCATGAACCTGGCGAACCCCGGACACGAACGATGTCGGTATTTACACGCTTTACAAGCAACTCGTTCAACGTCGCAGATCCGTTTACTTGGGTCCTGAGCGCAGTATTCACATGTCTACCACAATGCACAACGTCAGCCTTACATCTAACGGGAAAACGGAAGGAGAAGAAACGGACCGCATTGCCTAGCGTGTCTAACCATTGGTTCTGTCGTTCCCTACCACCAGACGAGCTTTTGAGGTTACAGAATAATTTCGTGGATTGATTGTACTTTGACGTTTCAGACTAGAGCACGGATTAGCATCGATTTTTTAAGAGAACTTGGGAGGTCACTTGCAATGTTGCATTCCAAAAACCACGTGGTTTCTGGTCAGCCGATTATGTAACGGAAACTGCTCTCCTTCACCAACTCCAAGTTAGTTCGATTCCCGCATACATATATCCAGTCGCACAGCGTATACGGTGCCATCTCGAAACGTACGTGATCATAAATGGCAACCCAAAAATCAAGATTATCTTCTTTGGACGGCCAAGGTGGATTGGACAATCGAGAAGGAAGTGATCCCGTCGTAAGCACTCTGCCAGCGCCTGATGGTATCTCTCATTTCAAATCAAAAAGTCTGGAACAAAGACAGAGCATCGCTTCAGTACGCCCCTCATATTTTGTACTGTATCTCCACCATCTCACCTGCTCGGGCAAAGTATACTACAGATTGTACACCGAAGACGGCCCACTGGAGACTTACAATCCCGTCTACTCCGACGATATATTCATTAGCCGGATTTCCTCCAAATCAATCGCGCCACCCCGTACAGCCGCTTCACTCAAAAAGTACCTCTGCAAGATCGAGGGCTACCAAATTGAACCCGGAAAGTTCAACTTGTATCTATCTCTCGGAGAAAAGACGCCGGTTGAAGATTCCATTCGTCTCGCACTTAAGGGAAATTCTGGAGCGGGATCATCTGGATTTGATCCGGTGGCATTGATAATTGGTGTAAAAGAGAAACGAATGAAGGCACCGGACATGGTGAACGTGAAGGAATTGGATCAGTGGCCTGAGAAAGAGGCGAGGCGTTATGGTGCGCTCTCACTATCCGTCATCAGATCTAGCTTACGCTGAATATTAACCAGTCTATTACCGCGTGTACGACGAGGATGGAGAAGCCCCTTCAAAAATGTCCTTCGATCATAGCGAGCCTTGTTTAGGTCGCATCGACGCCCTCGCAGTTCCGCCACCACACACCGTTTCTTCTCTCAAGTGTTGTCTTATTCAAGTGGAAAAATACGTTGATTGTGAACTTCAGTTGTTTGAAGAGGATGACGGAGAGACTATGATGAATGACAGTGACACGATCGCCCTCCATGCTGACACTTACTTTCCAGGTAGTTCTGAAGACAATCCAATAGCACTGGTATACAAAAGGATACCGCAACCCTTCTCGAAGAAGGTCAGAGCGAAGGCTTTTTGCAGTAAGTAATCAGAAACGCTCAAACTTTCATTCCAGTTGATGTCTTTCAGCTATGGCAAATTATGATTCCAATTGGCACTCAACAGTAGCGGGAGAGATTTTTCAGACTGACGGAAATGTGACTACGCAGAAATACTATGCCAACCAAAGGGCCTACGGTGCTTCTCGCCATTTTCGATAAGTTTCCACTACTAATACCGATTTAGAATACCCGTGCTATGTGGCTACAAACACGGCTGGGAAGAAAGCTTGTAAGTACACTTCGTGTCTGCTGATAAACTTACTTGCTTATTTTCCTCTTTTCCCGCAGTCCTTCAAGGAGGTAAATAGCTCTTTCCTCATATTCGTCTATTTGTGTGTTTGATGAAGCGTTTCCGTTAGCCAACACAACATTAGTCTGAATCAGAGGAAGATACCCTTTTGTACACTTCGTGCTATACCTTTGAACATTTTATTAGTGATTCATAAGGACCATTTGCGTCGTCCATTAGGAAAGAAACTCGAAATTGCGCAAAGAATTGATATATCCTTGAAAGTACACAACTGTCCCGGCGAGCACGGTAAAGCCGCTGCTTCATGCGCTGCGATTCTCAAGGTCAAATCAAGCTATGAGGCTAGATCCGAGTCAGTCATGGATTTACTCAAAGTTCGTGCGGCGGATATGATTGGTCAAGTAACAATACAACTACAAGAATTCATTAGACCTGATAGCGTAAAGGTAACGCGGCTGCACTAAATTCCCGAGATGATAGTACAGGACAAATGTGCAGCGCCGATCCTCGTTCGACTCGAGGTCAGGTCGACATTTGGATATATCGCTTGAATTTTACCAGTGTATGCGGAGTCTGTAGAAGCGCAGAATCTTTCAAAGTTTAAGCTTTAAGGGCTATCGAATTCCAGTGGAGACAACGCTACTAGTATGGAACTCTGTAAATCTTTTAATGATTCGGAGAGGGAGGGATATATGTACGTACCTTCTTACTCATTGAGAACCGACTGCACACGCATCCCTTGATAAAGTAAACCCGGCGAAACTTTGATGTTGATGTAAATCCCAGCGATCCCCTGTTACATTGGACCTGATAGCGGAAAAGTGAGCAGCGCATCTGTGCTACCCGTACGGGACTAAAACTCATATAGCTACTATGAGTCCTCGTTCGAGTCGAGGACAGGTCGATATTGCATCCGAGGTGATTATATCTTTTGGGTACTACTTGGAGATGTATTTTCTTGATTGGTATATAAACCTCAAGTTGGACGTCTGAGGTAATGACTCAATGACTTGGATTTGCGGTCTTGATATCTGTACATGACAAGAAAGAGAAACGAACCTTTTCATAGTTACCCGACATCGAGGATCACCACTGTCAACAACACATAGGATTCTGCCGCAGTACATATACGCCATACCCTTTCCGGCTCCTGGATTCTTATGGGTAGCCCGCTCGTTGTCCGAACTTTCAGACATCGAATCGACAGAATTTGTTTTACACGCGAAAATTTGATACATTGAGTAGTTCATGTATTCACTCAAAGTTCGTGCGGCGGATATGTTTGGACAAGTAAAAATACAACTTATAAGACCTGGTAGCGTAAAGGTAACGCGGTTGCACTACATTACTAGAGCGTTGACAAATGTGCAGCGCCGATCCTCGTTCGACTCGAGGTCAGGTCAATTGTAAAAATCGTATGAGGCGGCTTTAATTTTACCGGTTTATGCGATCTGTAGAGGCGCAGAGTCCAGCAAAAAGCGGTCTCAAAGCTGAAGGGGTATCGAATTCCAGCGGAGATAACGCTATGGAACCCTGTGAGTTGATAGTGAGTCGAAGGGATAGGGACATATGCCATACGTACCCTTACCCTCCTACTCACTGGAAACCGACAGCACACGCATCCCTTGATTAATAACTGTGACGTTGATGTAAATCCCAGCAATCCCTTGCTACATAGGACCTGATAGCGGAAGAGTAAGCAGCGCATCTGCGCAACGTGTACGGGACTATAAAGTCGTACTGTGAGTCCTCGTTCGAGTCGAGGACAGGTCTATACCCCCAAGTTAACCTGAAGATGTATTTTGTTGATTAGTATACACATCTCAAGTTGGACGTTCGAAGTAGTTACACAATGACTTGGATTTGCGGTCTTGATATTTGTGTATAACAAGAAAGAAAACGTTTCGTGATTAGTACCCGACCTCGAGGATCACCACTGTCAACAAGACACAGCCGTACCGCTACGCCGTACCCTGGATTCTTATGGGTAGCCCACTCGTTGTCCGGACCTTCGAACATCGAATCGACAGGATTTGTTTTACACGCGAAAATTTGATACATTGAATAGTATACACGACGAAGCCCTAGGCACGCGACCGCAGCGCGATGACGTCTTGAGTAGGGCACGCGACTACACATGAGACGCCCATGGGTGGCGACGAGTGAAGGGGGCTACTTCCTGCCAGCTTTCTTAGCTGCAGTACGCGCTCTATTAATCTGCTTCTTCCAGCCATAACACTGGTTGCAGCCTAAACCAATTAGGGGTGAGATCCGTGTCGGGTGTGGGGGAGAGGAGCAGATGGACGGGACAAGGGACGTACCAGTCGAGCCATGCTTCTTGCACTGATAGTTACCATCCTTGTTTACGATAGAGGCAGGACACTCAATGCCCTCACGATCGATGGGGTCGAGCTGGTTGTGAATAAGCGCCGTTTATCAGCAACGGGAGGTGAGACATGGAGGACGTACGCCAAAGAAAGAATCATTCTCCTCCCTCCCGTCAAAGCTACAATCCGAGCACTGGAGATAATGATCAATCAGCACGGATAAGATTGCAAGGCAGGGAGGGGGGGGACGTACGACTTCCTTGTAGTGGGTACAAAAGATAGCATCGTTGATCTCGACGGTCGCTGGGGCGGTCTGGACTTCGGCCATCGTACAACGTGACGTATGGAGAAAGAGGAGGAATGGGTGCTTGGTAGAAGAAGAGGTCAAGCGAAGGAGGATTATATAGCTGGGAGCGGTGCCTGAATGCGGGGAAGATTCAAGTAGTCTGCTGACCTTGTTTTGAAATGCTTGGTTGGGAAACGATCACGTGGTTGTTTTGGTTCTTTTCAACGTTTCGATCAACGTTGGATCAACGTCAGTTTTACACGATGGACCTTCCAGCGGAAATCCTTACGCAAATCTTCGATCTCGCAGCGGACGAAGATGTTATCTTTCAGTATGGTCTGCCTACTGTCATGGCCGAATCTGCGTGGTTCAAGAACATTGCAAAAGATTGGACCCTTCGGTCTCCTGGTGACGCGTTGAACCTCATACAAAGACGGAGTTACGCGACCAAGAAAGTGAGTTTTTCCAGCTGTGTACGCACATCATCTGAAGGCTCGATTACTCCTCTCCATAGGCCATCATACTGACATGCAAACGCTGGCGCGCTCTCGGCTCGGAGTTTCTCTTCCGCTGCCTCTTCTTCAACAACCCCTCCAAACTCCTCGCCCTCTGTGCCATCCTCGACTCTTCCGCGTCCTCCGCCACTACGCTCACCGCATCTTTTGGGTGGTGGACTCGCCGTATCCATCTCTCGCGGTACTACGCCTCCGCAGCTAGTAAGACTACCCTTCTCGACCTCGAGAACGCGTTGGCGTCCATTATTCGCCACTGCCCGAACCTTGAAATCTTCATTGTCGATTGGCCCATGGGGGAGTCTTTTGGAGCAATTGCGGATGCACTAGCAACCTACCCCTGTCGACGGTCCCTTCGCACAGCGCATTGGGCAGTGGGAATCGACTCCGTAGCAAAAGTTATCTGGGCACTCGACTGTCTCCCCTACGTCGTCGCGTTACACGTCGAATTCCAGGCGCCCCCAGGAACAGAAGACTATGACCTCTCAACTCCCCTCCTAGGGTCCGCATCAGGCCTCCGCCTCTCCCTCCCCCGCCTCCAACAACTCTCTCTACACGGGCACGCCCAAGAATTCATAGACCAAGCAACCTCATGGTCCCTCCCCTCCTTACGCTCTTTCTCTCTAACAACTACAACAACAGGCACCCCCCTCCCCGACATCCCTCTCTTCCTAACTTATCATGGTTCCAACCTGCTCTTCCTAGACCTCAACACCCTCTCCATGCTGGACCTCCCCACCATCCTCGACCTCTGCCCATCCCTCGACACGTTGACTTTCAACCCAGACTGGCGTCTCCGACCTCCAGCAGAACCAGACGGCTCCTCACACATCGTTAACCGCCCTCACCCTGGTATAACAACCATCGGCCTACACGGGCTCTTATATGCATTCGGGGTAGGCTACGCAGCGGAATACGCTTCCGCCGATCCCCTCCGCGCACAAATCATAAGACGCTCAAACGACATGAACGTCTCCGCCCTCACTCTCCACAATTTTCCCTCTTTGAAACGTGTCAGAGCACTGGGTAGAGGGATGTTATTGGACCTGAACAAAGCCGACGGGCCGAATAGCGCAGAGGACGGCGGGGGAGGGTTCGACAGATGGAGTAGGTGGTGGGGGATGTGTGTTAATGCTGGTGTTAGGCTGGAGGATTGTACGGGGGGATTGTTGGGCGTGTTACCGGAGGTTGAGCGGGATGAAAGTGATAGCGAGGGGGGCGAGGACAGCGACGAAGAGGAGGACAGTGACGAAAAGGATGATAGTGATGAAGAAGAGGACGAATGGAGTATTGAGATCCCACCTATGCCTGAAGAGCCGAACGATCGAACGGCGGAGCTTAGGCAGTTGCTGGAGGAGTGTAGAGCTATGAGTGAGGGGAGGGAAGAGTCGATGTTTGGGCCTATGATGGGCATGGGCATGGGTGGGATGGGTATGATGGGTATGGGTATGGGGCCGATGGGTATGATGGGTATGGGACCAATGGGTATGATGGGTATGGGGGGAATGGGTATGGGTATGAGTAATGCAAATGGAGGAATCGACGTCGCGTTGGCCGCGATGCGGGTCGCTGCTGGGCGGCGTTAACGACTCTAGACTTATGACTTATGACTTATGATTTTATGCATCTACTTATGATTAACAGATATCGATACCTCGCTGCGCAGGAGCTCACGTTCACCCCACGTAAAACGCTTTCTTGCCTACGACTTCGATTCGAACGAGGATCGACACCACACAAAACGCATTTCTTATGTCCTCGAAATCGCGCAGTCGCGTTACCTTAACGCCATCGTTCATCAGGCCTCAGGCCTCAGGTGTGATAAAAAGATTTGGATCATTGGTCGCTGAACGTTGAATAGCGAGCTCCAAGGTGTGAAATTGTGCAGCCTCACGCCAACAGGTTTGCTGAAGACTTGGATCATTGATCGTTTTTCAAACTGACGTCGACTCCTAGATATCCCACATAAATTACATGGAGGTTTAAACGTTCATGACCTGGCCTCGGCTGAGTCGGCTCAAACGAGCAACTCGAACATGATCTTTTGAGAGCACCAGATGACAACTCGACCTCCCGTCCTGACAAGCACTCGATATTCGGGCGGTGTTCAATGTTCTGCAGTCCATTACGATTCCGGCTCTTCGAGCCGTCATGATTTGAAGAGAGAAATGATGGACTCAAGCAAGTAACGGTTTTTAGGAGCCGTTGCATCCTTCGTCTTGCACTATTGGGAACGCTCAATGATGAATGTCGACATTCATCCGCAGGACTTACGGAGCACGTTATAAATTATAGTGCTCGAGCGACACTCTCGAAACACTACGCATTCACTGTTACCCATATAGGAATGCCGAGAAACCCATCTCAAGCGTAATACTTCATTCTATAAATTTTTACTAAACCTGGCCGTCATCGATTCTGGAAGCGATGGTTTGTGTCAGGATCCTGCCTCCTTCAGCGTCACGTTTCTGACTCGCTGTATCAATAAAGAGCCAGGGAGGCGTTCTCTCCGAAAGTAATATTTGTCCGCCGATCGTGGCGCAGTATGCGCTTGAAAAATATCGCCTTCCTAAGCGTTGGGGGGGAAAGAAAGGGCTAGACGATTCCGAGGATTTATCTTGGCGCGAGTCTCCAATTGACGGCTGGTATGACGATGTTTTTTTTTGGCGATAATGATGCTCCGTCCAGATGCTCACTACACTTTTTGTTCTTGCATTGCTCTCGCATGAGCTGATGATACTTACGGTTATTAAAAGTCCAGAGTAGTTGCAAGGCGTGTCGGAAGAAATATTTTCAAATTCCCTACATCCGAACCCGGACATCCTCGCGAAAGCAGGACAGACTGCAAATTAGCTTCTTGGAGACTTTTTCACCCCTTGAGATATCTGTACGACATATAACACTTCTGATAATATTCAGGTCGATCGTCGGGGTCAGTACACATCCCTTCCATTTTTATAGGGCCCGGAGAGGGGAATAACTTCACGTGTTGTTCTCAAATCCGGGCCCCGTTGCTTTTTCTCAGGCCTACTCTTCCCTTTGCTTTGCAAAGCTCATGGACAAAAATAACGCCGATGTCTCGATTGATCCTACAACCCATCGTTGCCCTTTGCAAGCACCATCATGACTGAAGTCAATGCCACAGCTCTGGCGGGGATTGCTCAAAGCCTGTGCGTTTTCGTACACCTTTCTCATCGTTATTTACGACTTTTGTTGCTTTTATATAGGTTGGCAGCGAAGATGGTTTCCTTGTCCGCTTGTAGTGCGTAGACACCCACTATCTCGCGTCTCTGCCTTAACCTGCTGCTTCAAGTAACATTATTTTACGACATAGCAATCACGATTGGGGACGAAGTGGAACATATATGGCTGAAGCCAAAATATACCCGAATGACGATTCTGTGGGCTTTGGTGCGTAACTTTGACCTCTACTTTTCACTCCTGACCTCCTCGCAGAATCGGTACATTACTCCTTTGGGTTTTATTGTTATTACGGTTTGTGAGTTGCAGGATACCCGCGTTCGAATGCTCGCTAACTTTCAATAGCGTTTCATGAACCGTGGAGCAAATCCGTCTGCGATAGATATGTTCTCTTCCCAGAAGCTTTGAAATTGGTCAATTCCTTTGGTGTTGGCTGTGCGTCCGCTCTGACAATCGTTCTATCGGACGGAGTTATACTCATCCATAGAATCTGTAACAGTGGTTTTCATTATTCGGTTATTCGCTATCTACAATCAGAGTCGCGCTATGCTACTTTTTGGAAGTTTCTTGCTGGCGGCGGAGTTGGGTACTAAAATCGTGAGTTACGCGACATATAAGGCTAAGATTGAAAATCTTACTCGTCCTCTGATAAGTGGGCGTTCACGGATGGAACGAGGCTCGATCTTCCTGATGGTGAGCCAAGACATACTTGTCAGTTGTGTCTGCTGACTGATTTTCCACAGGTTTCGTGGGCTGTATACTCGTCGGAAGAACATCCTCGTTAGTTTGGGTTTCTGTTCTGTTGAATTTTGAGGGATGAATCGATGACCTTCTGCATTCACGCCTGCAGCCGGTTTGTGTTCAGTTGGATCGCCGAGCTTTTTTTCGGTTAGTTTGAATAATAATTCACTCCATCCGACTCACTCAGGTGCTAGACTCGGCAATGTTTATTCTGACACTATGGCGCACTATCGCTTACAACAATGCTTTAAACAACGGCAGTACCAAGTCGCTGATGCGCCTAATTCAACGCGATGGTAGGCGATATGTTTTTTCAATTTCCACACGGCCAAAGTAGATGACAGGAATCGCATACTATGCCACTATTTCAATAATCAATCTTGTCACGGTGGTAATCTTTTTGGTGAGATATTTTCCGACTCTACTAAATATCCATCCTTTGATTGCTGACTTTGCACTTAGTTTGCATCCGTACGTTTCCCAACGAATAAGATTGAAAGTGTCATTCACCTTCAGAAAACAGGCGAACTTAAAATCAATCAGCGCGGGCTTTAGCGTTTCGTGAGGGCCCCTTTCGTGAATGTTCGTTTAACATCCACCGATATAAACTCAAAACAGGATTATGAGCATCATGGTTTCGCGGCTAATTCTTAACCTCCGTAACTCGGTCGGATACGGAGGCTTTCATGATACTCCAAGACGAATCGACGATGTAGAACTCTACACAATGCCCGATTCCCAAGTCGACGCGCGCACCTTGTCAACCCTCTCACGACTACATGCGTCGTAACCCGATACATTTCCCTCGTACTGTCATCCCGGTAACTATCACGAAGGTTAGAACAACTACAAAATGATTGATATGTGCTGTAACCTTACCAATTTATAGGGATATAAGATAGCATGTAGTTTGGCAGGAGTGGCCGATGGTCCGAATTCATATCCGGAAAAACGTAATGAATCCTTAAGAGCGTATACTCTTCATCACTTCCGAATCACATGCATGTACCTATGCCTTAACAGTATTTTTTTGGCGTGCTCCTGACCAAACCAACAGAATAAGCCAGCTCCCCTGCGTCGTGAAGTGGGGGAAAAAATCAATTCACCGATCTTTCAAAGTTAACTAAAGACCTCAAAAAACACAGGCTAGTGTTTCAGGGAAAACTAGCTTCAAAATGGGTCAGGAATTGATTTTTTAGTCGCTGGCGTTGCGCGAACATCGAACTTGATTTGTACTGGACTCAAAGATTTTTCGCAATCCGAGTGGTCGGTCCTGGCGCTAGAGCCAAATGGCCACGGCAACAGATTAGAACAAGCTCAACTAGCTTGCGCAAGCATCGTAAAGACCTCTGAACTCACCCCGCACGGCGCAAGGACGGGCGTCGCATAGGATTTTTGTTCAGCACTGTAGAGCATGGGACGTTCAGAGTCCTTGCTTTCGACGTGCTTTCGACTTGATTTCGATTTGCTTTCAAACTTGATTTCGGACACGGCAACTCCCGAAAGCGCCATTCAACTCTGATCGTGAACTCGAAAACAAGGCGAAAGCAAGCCAAAGTGAAATGCCAAGCTCGTCGGAGTCTGAATTTAATTATGACGTGTACAGTGTCGGAAAAAACTATTATAAGGCCAAATAGTTTTTTCCGACAAGAGGTGTACCACATCATCCATTCCAATACTATCAAAGGTCACCTACTCGGCCACCCTGGGTATTTCAGTATTTAGGGTCTAGACAGCAAACCACTTACCATAGTGTGTGTTTAAATTTAAGGGCTGTAGTACAGGAAGTTATTGGCATGAACGTGAATTTGCCAAAGATCACCCAATTTGAGATATGATGGGTTGATGGGTGGCCACGTGGTGTTTTGGCATGTTTTCTAAGACCCCCACCCCCCGATATGGCAACGCTTCGCCCAGCATCAGTGTTTTGACTCTTGGCTTGAAACTTGCTGATGTTGTAGATCCTGGTAGTAGTATGTATAATTGCACCCAAATTTTATGTTTCAACCCACATGAGCCCCATGCTCCTCTGATTGGCCAAGTTCTCAGGTTTGTGCAATTTCCCACCCTCTGTCAGAGAATCCCCATCATGGTTACATACTATGTTTGTTCAGGTGTTTGAAACTGTGGATTATCTTACCTTCCACTTGCCTTGGGGCCTTGGAATTTTGACAGAAGGTGTATTTATGTATTAAATTTATTGTCTCAAAATTTTAGAACGAGAGTCAAAGATTTGTGGTCTGGGGACATGGATTTGTGGTTTTCATTACACCAGACAAACAAAAGTAATGGAATGTTCTCTCAGATCCCTCCAGATCGGCTTGACTGTTTATTCTAAAACTTTCCAAATGCATTTGAATGGCATACTTAAGTTCAAATTAAAAAAATTAGATAGCGAGGTGAAGTTGTCGTTTCAGGAAGGGCAACAGACCAAATTTCGCTGTGAAACAGCTCGAAAAACGTGACATTTGCGTGACATTCGCACATCATCGATCATCCATCAGCCAGATTCGTTGTTTTCTGGAACAAACATAGTATATGTGGATTCAAATTTTCGTCACCAGTTGAATTGTTCCAATCAGCTCGCTTTGATCTCTTCTGTTATTTAGTTCCCCTGAAAGCAACCCTTTTTTTAGTTGCGTTGAGTCAGACGTTGACAATCTCATTCCAAAGCTTTGCACCGCTTGTCTCCTCATTCACGTGTCTTTCGTCAACCTGCACTGAGATTGAGGTGATACTTGATTGACAAACATGCAATTTGAGGCTGAATTCCGAGTTCGGTGCTGTGCGGGGGGCCATTGGCACCAGCGCCCATAACCCAAAATAGGTGATGTTTAACCAAATGCGGGTTAGCCTGTGAAACGTGAACATGCGATCTGTTCGAGGCAGTTCCTGTGATCGTTCCACGCTTGGCTTCCGTTACTGCCGCACTGAAAATCTACTTAAACGCCGTCCCTCTTTCACAACACCGTCCTTGTTCCCCTACCAAACACTCCATCTCCTCACGGTCGACAATGTCTTATCAAGTCGGTGTTGTTTTTTTTTTGCAGCGCCCACGCCTCCTGATGCATTATTTGAAATAGCCCAACGCTGGAATGGTTGTTGCCCCCGGGGGCGGCGGTAATCGCAATGCGAAAAACATCCCCGTCGCTGCTGATGGCAGAGAGTGGAGCCATGGCCTCTGTGATTGTTTCGGCGACTGTGGAACTTGTGCGTAACACATACAAACTTCCGCTCACCTTCCTCATTTACAAGTCAGGTGTCATCGCTTGGTGCTTCCCCTGCATTACCTACGCCAACATTAAGCACCGCTATGAGCATTTGAACACCAAGGGATTCCCTGACCCCCAGCATGGCGGTTCTTTCTGCAACAGTGACTGCATGCTTCATGGCTGCATCACCGCTTTCTGTGGCATGGGCTGGATCTTCCAGGTGCGCTCTCTCCCACACTCAAGCGCTTCCCGTTTCGCTCATTTTTTCACAGATGGGCCAGCGTGGCAGCATCCGCCAACGGTACAACATCAAGGGTGGATCATGCGGTGACTGCTGCACCGCACTCTGTTGCACACCCTGTGAGCTCACCCAAGAAGCTCGCGAATTGGAGCTCGAGGAGCAGAGCTTCGGTGGACACCACGGCAAACACTGATTTTTTCCCCTTCTCATGCCCCCACATTCTCCCCCCGTTTCTCATTGTATGCTTTATTGATACACCCCCCTTTTATAACCCTCTTGCCATAAGTACTACCCTGTGCATCCTCTGTACAAATAACGTTCATTAGGTTATACCCACCAATCAAAAGCAACTTGTGCTTGACATCCACGTTCTCCGCTGTATCGTGCTGTCCAGCTTCACAACAGCGCTATCTTCATAGGCAGCCACGGTCTCATGCCCGGATACTTGGCGCCGGCGAAGAACGGCCACTGGTGACAGCGCTGGCGTCCCTATCTTCCTTACTACACCTTAGCTTCATACACGTCTTGTTCGAGTTTCTCCGTAAGCCTTACGGAGAAACTCGAACAAAACGTGTATGAAGAACGAAGCCACTAAGGAATGAACAACTTCGATCGGATCATATCATTATCAACTTATGTTGTATCTGGGCGGGATGTACAGTGGCGGACCCATCCGAGGACTCCTCGGCATCTTTTCAAGAGTTGTTAGGAAAAGGCCCTCAGCCCCCCCAGTACGTGGTCGTCTGATGGTCGACGGAGAAAGGCGCATTTCCAGTGGCACTTTGAGTTATGAATCGTACACCCTTCAAGCTAACAGGAATTTGACGAACATGTCAACCTTTCTCGGCCATTTCCACGCTGGGTATAAGCTGTGTAAACAATATAAGAAAGCCTTAGATCCGGAACTAACGGAGGAGCTGATTGTTTGGATGGATGAACTTTAGACGGGTACAAATGTACCACTCAAGTTCTGTCACGAGAATTATCAAGACTCCCTCAAAATATTATCTTGAGGATTCAGCATAACTAAGTCCTGCCTCAACGCCCGAATTCATCGGGTCACGCCAGGTCTTCTGATCAGGGTTTTTCAGTGCCCAAATACTGTGCGTTTTATTAGCTTAGAGACCTTGAAAACCGTGTCAAATTGTCTTTACCAGCAGGTAGTAAAGCAGGCCAATTTTTACGTTCATTCGGATAGCCCCCCTCCATATTCAACTCCCCTCGCAAAAAATTTCACCGCCCTCGTCGTATACCCGGTGATACACTGATAAGAATCTGATAAGGTGAGGAGTCAAATCCTTGGTGACTAAAGACGCACCATAGCGACGCTCGAATGGTCATCTAAGGAGATCTTTCGCCTACACCGAAGTCACTTTTGATCGCTTCTTGGCCTCCGAAACGTCAACGACCAAAACGACCGGGTCTACTCGGATACACCAGGCCCAGACGTCTCTCTGAGTGCGAGACGGGCGGAGTCCTCTACTGCTTGGTCGGAGAGTGACGAAGTATACAAAGCACACTTAGGCTTGGTACATAGATTACTGAGATCTTTCAAATTTTCATTGCTGCACATATGCCTTTTCAAGGATGCAGCGGTGTGTGGAGGTGCTAGGGATCCTGATACGATGCGGCTGATGAACCGATTGGAATTGATATATTGATACTTAGCTTAGGGTTGTTTGATTCTAGGACTTCTGATCAGGTGCACAGAGAGCGATAAGAGATTGTGAGTCACGTGAAAACCTGCCGTACCGTTTGCGTGAGGCTCAGGCTAGGGTTGTTGCAAGTTGTCTTCATCCTTCACAGCACTCGTGTGCCTCGCCTGGTCGAATGTCTCAAGAGAGCGAGCCATTGCTCTCGGATCTGAACAATGATCGCCCTGCAGACTACCAAAGCCGTCGTGACGCCGTGGACAACGCTGAACACCAGGTTGAACAGGGGGAGCCAGCAAAAGGGTCATCTATGGCATTCGTATGTTATCCATCTGCATTTTCATCTCAAACTTTTCTAAGGTCTTCTCAGGTTCTGCCAATGGCTGTTGGTATCTTTCTTTGCGCCATGGATGGGACCATTGTCGTGTCATGTGAGTCGTCACCGAACTGGAGATCGTTCTTTTGCTGAAACGAGCATATTTCAGCCGCAGCTGCTATTGGCAGTGAATTAAACGAGCTTCAAAATACTAGTTGGATAGCTACAGCGTACCTGTTAACGCTGACGAGCTTCCAGTATGCCATCTTCATCTGTTCGAAGCGTTACCACGAACTTTCTTGTTCTCTCCAGGCCTCTCTACGGAAAGTTGAGCGATATATTCGGGCGCAAGAGCTGTTTACTGTTTTCTTACTCAATCTTTTCCATTGGATGTTTGTTGTGCGGCCTATCACGGAACATGAACGAACTTATCATGTGCAGGGCATTCGCTGGAATAGGCGGTGGGGGAATGCAACCGTGAGTTACCACGCCTGTAGTCAAAGCGAATCCTCATTCTTCAATCTATCTAGAATCGTTAGTATAATCATGTCCGATGTCGTCCCCCTTCGCTCTCGCGGGACTTGGCAAGGTGGGGGTATTCTCCTGCAAAGCCCTATCACTTCTGAACGTGATTAGGCGTCTTGAATATAGTTTGGACGACTGGAACTATTGTAGGAGCCTCACTTGGAGGACTTTTTGCCGACACAATTGGATGGCGCTGGTATGCTCGCTCAACTTTCATCAGATTGATAGAGAAACCAATATCGTTCAGGGCATTCCTAATTCAAGTACCCATTGCTCTGATTGCAATTATCGCTGTGTCTCTCGCTCTCCACCTTCCGAAGGTAGAGTCCGGAGGTTACAAGGCGAAGCTCAAGCGTGTGGACTTTCTCGGAGCCATCTCCCTAGTCTCCGCGGTTTTCTTCCTTCTGTTCGGGCTAGATAGAGGAGGTAACGTTTCTTGGAACGATAAGTTGACCATATACTCCCTGTGCGCATTTTTTGTGGCCTTCGTGACCTTTGCCTTCGTCGAGATGAAATGGGCGAGCGAGCCCTTTGCCCCCAAGAGAATCATAGTGAACCGATCCCTAATCTCTAGTTACTTGGTCAACTTCTTCGGCATTGCTTCGGGCTTCACCATGATCTTCTACATCGCGCTGTATTTCCAGGCGGTGCAAGGGAGAAGCGCCTCGGAAGCTGGGATTTGGTTGCTCTTTAGTGTCGGGGGCAGCCTAACGGGCTCTCTCTGCGGAGGTTTGATAATTCAGGCGACGGGAAAATATTACCTACTCACGCTGGCGAGTTATATCGTCTTCTTCTTGGGGACCACTTCAACCACTCTTTCGTCTGGTGTTATTGTTACATCATCAGTTGGCATCGCTTCGGGTGAGTGCTTCTGAGAAGGAAAGTTTCACATTCGCTCATGCCTATTTTTCCGCTGGGAAGGTTTGTTTTTCTCTAGTCTTGGAAACGGTTGGCCTGCTTCGCTCCTCTCGTGCATCGGAGCTTATCAACACTTCGTTGCTTCATCACAGGTAGCGGTATTACGACAAGTCTCATTTCGCTAATTGCGAATGCAGGCCAAGCCGACCAGGCCATTGCTACCGCGGGTAAGCTCTCCACTTATTGCTCAATCAATCTTGCTCGACAAAAATCGCAGTTTCATACCTCTTCCGCTCCCTTGGATCTGTGGTCGGTTTGTCGGTCGGGGCGACACTAGTGCAAGGAACATTGCGCTCCTCTCTTCAGCACAAACTTTCAGGACAAGACGTTGACGAGGTAAGTCCCACGTTCTTGCGCTTTCTCACATCGAAATGATACCGTTCTATAGATAATTCGGCGGGTCCGAGAGTCCCTCAGCTACCTTGACGAGCTCGACCCTGTTACACGAGCAACGGTAACGACTTCTTATGGCGAAGCCATACACGTCGCCTTCTGGTTCTCCGCGATCATGGCCGCCTGCGCCATGATTTCGGCCATATTCATCAAGGAAAAGCCTATACCCGCGAAGACCACGTGAGGTTTATTCGGAATAGAGTTGGCAACTTGTATACCTCTGGATAAAGACGTAGGGCGGCAAGCCGCATGGCCCGCTACGCCCCATTTCAACTGTTGGTTTTGTTTTATGTTGAATCTGTTTATATTTATAATAACGTTACACACATTGAATAATGCTGCTCGTCGTTGGCTCGTCGCTTCAACGTCGCTGGGCCTTCGGTACATAGACCTCGCATGATTCTCAATCTGATCCTTTTATTTTTTTGCTTCTTCCCGAGAGCTCCACTGGAGGTGAATATTTGAATATCTAACTTGGGCAGCCACTGATCGTCGCCCAGCCTTCAGCTGGCTCCTCGCAGCGGCGTGCCATGTTTGCAAAAGAGTGCATTTGTCCCCAAGGGGGTGTCGGGATCATAATCCCGGACCGGGGGCCGGTTGGTTGGTTGGGCCGTCAGGCCGTTAAAAAAAAATTGGAAGCTCAAAAATTTTGGCCCAAAAACATTATAGACGGCCTTCCTGATGGATAAAGTATACATAATAGATACTAGAAAGCCTCAAGGTGTGCTAAATGCCTCAGGATGCGCCAAAAACACCAATGGGACTGCTTACATAAGGCAATAATAACATGCATTGATAATTTTCGTTAGTGTGGCAACCGTCAAAGACCTTTGATTATGATTTGTTAGCATATTCCGGGGCACGCAAACTCACCGTGAGATTCCACAGAACAGGACACTCATGCCGTGACTCATTCTGACACCAACGAGGTTCATAGGCCACCGAGTACTTACTTCGCCTGAGTACGCCGGTTGCATGTGGGCCCGTTTGTAGGTGCCCGGCGCACTTGAGTGGTGAGTCTATGTATGTACTATATAGTATTTTCCGAACTTTGAAGGGTCGAGTGAATGAAAGTCGACGTCCTGCTCCTGGGCCCCCTAGCAAATTTAAATCCCTTGGAAGGGTCATCAAACGTTTTCACCTGAACAAAGATGAGAATCATGAGATGCACGCGGTATGTATGTCGGAAGGCGTGCAAGCGTTTGGCCTCAAACAAGTTGGTAATTATTTAAAACGGATTCAATCAAGTCGTCCGTGAACCAGTCCGAACCTCTATAACAAACCCTGCCTCTGATCAGAGAAAAAGGAAACACCAGTTGTAGCCAGTTGTATGCGAGTTTAATGTATACTTATGATATGTCGCTGTGCCACAGGGCACCGCACCAGTGGCGCAACTTGGAAGCAACGACCCAGGTGCGTTTATACACCAGAGTACACTACCAATCATGACTTGGACTTTGCTTGGACTTGGAGGTAGGAGTCAGTGGTATCATTTGTGTGTCCCGATTATTTAGTTACGAGAAATTGAATCCATGCAGACTCAGTTGTCTTGAAAGTTAAGGGACAGATGCTGCACAGAAAGGCGTACCAGAAAAGATAGTAGGTGATACTAGGCAGCTCTGCGATTTGGCCTGTCATCAACGAAAAAGTAGAGAGCCTGAGGGAAAAGGGAACCCCAGACACGAAAACTCACGAAAAGACTTCACTCACTGAGACTCGCGAGAGACACCCTCTTCAAAACACAACGTTCTATGTATAAGCCCCCAAAAGCCCAACAAAAAAACGACATAAAGAAGTCACGACTGAATAAATTACGGCACCTCCCCACCTCACTCTCATGAACACCCTCCCAAAAATATCTGAGAGCCTGTGTCAGAACCCAAACGCAGGTAACGCAACACTCCCCGCACTCTTCGTCCTCCCCCTCCCCTTCTTCCCACCAAGCGGAGGAGGAGAAGACGGACCAGTGAGTAGCGTAAGCCCACACGATAAATTATTAGGCACCTCTCCGTCCCATTCCTCGTGGTGGCGTTGGTGTTTGGAGGAGGGTGGTGGAACGGGAATGATAGGAGTACGAGGGGCCGGTTTGCTTTTAGAGACCCACATGAACGGGGTAGATCCCGTTTTCTCAAGTTGTCCCTCTGCCTCCTCCTCCTCCGCATCATCGTCAAGTGAATAGGCACTGCTGCTCCCACTCGCGCTCTCCGTCCTCTCCCTCTTCCCCTCATGCTCACCACCGGAAGAACTCCCAACACCAGCTTCACCCTCCAACGAAATATCCAAAACGAACGCATGCTCTTCTTCTTCCCCCCCAACCCCACCTGCACCCACACCCGCCCCAGCACCAACAGACTTCCCCCTCTTCCTCCGCCCTCTCAACCGCCCATCCTCGAAAAACGCCATCGACACCGCGTCCGCGAATTTCCGTTTCGGTAGCGGTATGGGTACGTGTTTCCTGTTGTTGTCGGGTATCATCGCCATCGCATGTGTATGTGCAGCCCTCCCCCCTCCCGGTATAGACAAAGCCACCCGCGACTTCATACGGCCCCTCTCCTCCATTTCCTCACTCCCGGCTACCAAAAACTCAAACCCAGAACCAGGAGCAGGCGCAGAATAATCAACTCTATAACTCCTAGGCAACCCCCCTTTCCTCCTCCCCCCACCAGCCCTCACGCTTATAGGTGATACTGTAGAATCGAGGTCGTCTGCGGGTGAAGGGGGCGCATAGGCCATTGGTGAGGGTGGGTCGTATTCGTGTCCTATTGATGAGGAGGGGTCGAAATCTCCAGGATGACTCTTCCTCCTCGTTGAAGTCGAGTGCCCTTCTTCGGCAGAAAAACGATCATCGTCGTCGTCGTCATCCCAAGGCCGCGCATACCTTATCGGACTCGGACTCGGGGTCTCATTTCCCAAGCTCCTTCCATAGCCCACATAACCACCACCACAATTGGATAACCCATCGTCATCTACGAAAAATTGAATGGGGGAGGTAGGCGAGTCATCCGCATCTGTAACTGCGCATGAGTGGTATGGGTTGGAGGAAGAGGGAAAGGGATGCATGAATTGCGGTGGGGATGATGAATTCGAGTTCGAAAACGGGGGAGGAGAGGATGAGGAGGATGGGCATGGTGGTGGGGATGAGGAAGATGAGAGGGCACGAGAGGGGAAAGGGTGTGTGAATATTGGGGGTGAGGATGATGTGTACATTGGTGGTGAAGCTGATATCGATATTGATGCTCCCATCGAAGAAGTGTCATCAGATCGTCGAAATGGATGTGTTTCATTGGAAGAGGAGGAGAGGAGCGTCGTTGGTGTACTTTGCATACTCAACGTCGGTGTAGTCTGTACACTCAACCTAGGCGTAGAAGTCGAAGGCGAAGAGGAAGGCAACGTAGCTGACCTCCCAGACCTCGTCGTCGTCGTTGTTCCTGTTCCTGTTCCACTAGCTGCAGCCAACCAACTCGCACTCGTGCCCATGAACGCAGAACCAACACCAACAGCACTCAACGTCAACACCGGCCTTTCCCTTTCCCTCCCCTGTCCAGTCGTTGACGTTGGAGTGGGGCTCCCAGCAGGCGACGACTCCAACGACCCGGATTTGGTCCAAGAAGTGGTGATGTACGGTTGAGGTCTAATCCTCCGCTCAACGCCTATATCTGGTGAAGGCGGCGAAAACAAAGGAGAACCGCGGGGAACTGGGGGTGGTAAAGACAGAGGTACAGGTGGAGGATCTCCCAAGACCCCAACACCATCATCATCCACACCACTCCCAAAAGTAATCGAACTCCTCAAAGGCGACGGTTCCCCACTAGTACTACTCCTCCTCGCATTCTGCATCCTCTTCATCGAGCGGGGTCTCTGCGCTCTTTTCCTCTGTGTCTGATCCACACCAGCATGATGAACCCGTGCTAAAAAGGAATCAGCAGAATGATCCCTCCTCCTCGTCCTCACCACCTGGCTTTGTGTGATCCTAGGACTCCCACAGGGGTTCAAGTCGACCGGACGGGAAGCCCATGAATATGATATCGGCATCCCCCCTCCTCCTCGTTTGTTGGAGGTCCTGGGTGTTCGGGAGGTGCTAGAGGAGCCGGGAGAAGGAGCGAAGATGGTGTTCATGGACCCGGAACTCGTGCGTGGTCTTTTGACTTTTGCTGGTGGGGGGATGTAGGACCGCCCTCCTGGATTTGGGTTGGCGCTGGTGAGAGGGGCTGAATGGAGGGGTGGTGGTGGAGGTGGTGGGTCGGAGAGGGCGGGAGAACAAGTGGAAGCAGAAGAGGGAACTGCAGAAGGAGGAGGAGGATCAACAACGAGAGGCTGATACCTCATCTTCTTAGTAGTCGTAGTCGTACCCGTAGACGTAGCCGTGTTCCTTGGTGGAGAAGGCAACGCAAGCAACACCTTTGAGGACGGCGTCCTCTGATGCACTTGCTGCTGCTGCTGGTGGTACGTAGACCCAATCTTATTAGGGGGCGGAGGTGACCTCGACGGTGCACCAACAGCCTTCAAGTTCAACCCCCCATCGGATGGTAGCGCGGCCCTCGCCTCACCCTTCCCCATAACCGTCCGCCCAATCTCCAACCTCGCAAGGCTAGGCTGCAGCCTCACGGGCGACGCTGTCGTTTGTCTCGGTATAGGTATAGGTATAGGCTGTGGCCGTTTAGAACGGGGCGGTTGGCCAAGGGGAGGGAGGGGGATAGGGATGGGCATTTCGATTTGTAAATCGTAGTCATACTCTTGCACCACCGCCGCTGACGTCGGTGGTGTTGGTGCTGGTGTAGGTGGAAGAGGGGAGGACGCCTGCACGTCGGTACCGGTGTTCGAATTCTCCTGTCCCTGATATTGAGGTTTCTGAATCTTCCCGAAAAGTCCTCGGAGGCGGGGACTGTTCATTAATGACGAGGATGCGGGTGACGAGTCTGGGTCGATCCCGGGTGACGAGGAGGATGATGATGATGAGGGGGGTGAGAGGGTATTTTGGGATTGGGATTGGGAATGAACGTGGCGGGAAGCTGCGTGTTCGGGGAACCCAGAGACGGAGAGCGCCATCGCTTTTAGTGAACGGGTAAGGATTCAGAGAGATGATTTTGTTGAGAACGTACGTACATACCTGGTATCTTCTGAAGTCGACAGAATAAAGGAAAGATGTGTTCAAGAGTTCTTATGGGATTTGATTATTTCACACTAACCTGATGTATGATGTGCCATTTTGATTACCTTACTCGCAACCAAGCGAACCACAACGAATGGAACTGAACCGACTCGCAATGATCTCCGTCGGACCAGCTTCTTCCATCATGCGACGTCGGGATGGATGATTCATGATATACAGTTCCGCGTCATCTCTCTCAAGTAATAGACCAAGTAGGTGCGTTGATCCTGTCTATAACTAACCACATACACCAAGAAAGACTCTCGGGATGGAGATAAAGACCACTAAACCCACTCTCTCCCGGTTTGCGCACTTGGGCTCCGTTTGACCCTTGTTTCGCCGTTTGGAGTTCGTATCCCCAGAGCCTCGAGCCGCCTATTCCTGCTGGGCCGTTTGATCTTCATCCCCGCTCAGTGGTCCGTTTGATCCCCATCCTCCTTCCAGTGGGTCGTTTGATCCCCATCCTCGTGCTAGACTTCTGGGCCATTTGATCCCCATCCCCATCCTCGTCCCATCCACGTAGGGCTGAAATTGATCCCCATTCCCTTGCTCCGAATTATCCAATTCATTCACAGTTCGTCCTACTCGTTTCGTGCTCATTTCAAGCCCTGAAGCGTCGAATCAGTTACTTACTTTCCCCAGATAGTAAACTACCATATACAGCAAATACAGCAGAACTTGAATTCAATCAATGGGGATCAGGATTGAGTACCGAGTGATGGCGGAACATCACTATCACGGTATCACCATGATCATCATAAACCAACTGCATGCAGGCCTTACGTATGTTGCAACACTTGTATGTAACGTGGTCGTATGGGGATTTGAGAGGCTCAGGTAAGAGGGAAGGAACAGGACAAAAAAAAAAAAAAAGACTGGTCGAGACGATTGAAGCATGGAAGATATATGAAGGGAAGGAGTGTGTTGATCACACCCCGAGAACGGTGAACAGGATACCATGATGCATTGATCGTCAAGAACACATGCTTATATACTATATGCTCGAAGCGAATGGCTCCTTACTGGACGACTCTTTCTTTAACTCTAAAATTATACCGGGGCTCCGAGTTAAGGAAGGGAGTATGTGCGACCTCGTTTCCGCACTTGGAAGCTTGATGATGATGACAAGACAAACTGGACCATAGAGGATGTTACACTCAATGGCGCACAGGTTCCGAGTTCAGGAGGCATGGCAATATATATATATCGCCTCGCCAACTCCGAACTTGAGCTTGGAAGCCAGACATTGAACAACAGATATGGTATCAAGTCGACAGCACGGATGGAGTCACTGGATTCGAACTGGCGTTCAAGGAGGTTGTTTCAGTAGAATTTTCAATTGAATGAAGAACAACGTCCGACCGAAATTCTGACGCGAGGCTGTGGCATTGAATTTTTGAAAATGCAACCGGAATAGAAAGGCACATTCTTGATCGACGACAATATCTTTCTTTCAGGTTTATCGATTCACGAGTCGAAGACGATGAAGAGGGGAGGAAAGAACATGCCCATAAATCAAATAATCTAATCAAGGCCTATTTTCGCCGAATCACGTGGTTGACAACGAGCTCGCCATCCACCTCTGTGTTGTTCTCCTTTCCCATCGCCTCCCTCCCCCGCTCCCTCCTCAAAATGTCCACACAAGCCCCCTCCTCCTCCTCCCAACTCATAATCCCGCAAACCGCAGCAGCAGGCGGCATAACCATAACCCAACCCCCGCAATCCGCCACATCATTCTACAAAATCGCCCCCTCAAACCTCATAACCTTCGCCTGGAACATGACCTCCGTCCTCGCCACCCCAACACACCTCACCGTCTCAGCCGTATGCGATAACGGGAACACGTATCCTGTGGGACCGACGGATGGGATTATCCCGGGGACGGCGAGTAGTGTTGTTTGGGATGTTTATTCGTATCAGCAGGCGCACCCGAATACGCCGCTGGCGCAGGCGACGTATACGTTGAATATTTGGGATGAGAGGGGCCCTGGGGCGGCGAGACGCGCGGGGTATTTACAGCCGAATAGTGCGTTGCAGTTTGCGTTGTATACGCCTCAGGCGTATACCCCGCTGGCGAGTGGTGCGTTGCGTTTATTCGTCTTTCTTTTTTGGTGGTGGCTGATGGATGTGATGTGGTTTGTAGGATGGACGTGTACGGGGTGTAGTGGTGCGATGGCGCTTGCTGCGCATCCGGCGTTTATAGGTGTATTGGTGTCCTTCCTTATCCTTTTTCTCTCGGGCTTCCACCTCATTCGCTCGACGAATAACCGGTAGGATGGGCCTTTTGAGGGGAACGTCCCGTTTGGCGCCCAAAATCCTATACATTTCTACAGGGTAGGTGCAACCTACGTTCCCTCTAGTTCCCAGACTGACTAGTACACCCTAGGGCTTCACCTTTATCAAGTCGCTCGCATGTCACAAGCCTGCATCCCAAACCCAAGGACTTCTCATCTCGTGACATTTTCGTTTCATCCCTTCTTCCCCTTCCCTCTCCATGCCCCTCCTCTGTCATCTCGATATCATCAGGACAATGCATACCTCTCCATCGATACACATACATCCCATACCTTACCCTCCTCACCCTCATTTAGACTGGTTTGTAAGTAAGTACGTTGCAGCAATTATCCGAACTCTAGTATTGGGAAAAATAATTATTTTATTTTTGCGTTGCCAAATGACTACCAGAGTGATGTACTTTCTCTCTTGATTCAGCCTTACCAAGTTCAGCGGGGCTCTTTTTCCTAAAATTCCGCTATGCCATGCATGGCGAAAGAAAGGGTACTTGTCCGACACTTGAACGTGGGATCAAGAATGCAGTGTTCACAGCATCATAAAGACCAACATCATTAGACGCGCCCCCTTCATTGAATTCCTTGACTCTGAACGCTGAACCTCCGATGGCCTCAATTCTTGCTGGATCCGAGGAACAACACGAAGTTTGTCCACCATCTCCCGAAGGCCCACCAGATGGTCTTGGAGGAAAGGCGGTAAGCACTACATGTGGCCCCTCCCTACACCATTTTGCCTCAACCAATGGCTTCAATATTGTGCAGATTGGGGCTGCCGATCCAAGCGGGCCACGTTACAGTTGTGTCTTCCCTCATAAAATCTACTATCTTGATTCTTACGCGTTGAGTCATCCAGTGTACTACCGTCTGTATACGAAGAACGGGCCAATCATGTCAAACAACCCAATCTACGCGAACAACCCCTTCATCAGCCGCACTCTTTCAAAATCCGTCGCGCCTCCTCGTACAGCCTTATCCGTAAAGAGGCATCTTTGCAAGATTGAGGGCTTACAATCAGCTCTCACAAGGTCCACGTTATTAGAGTCGCTTTCAAGCGAAACTGCACTTGCGGAATCGTCTCGATTGGCTTTTGGAGGGTATTCTGGTCCGGGGTTGAATGAGAATGACCCTATTGTTCTCGTGGTTGGAGTAGAAGACGCTGAAAAGCGACTGGCAAGCACAGCGCAGTCGGAGAGACTACCTGAGGCTGTACTGCCTAAGCCCCGCTATGGTACGTCCCAAAATGTTATTGATAACCCTTGCTTACCTGTTCTGGTTCCAGTCTATTATCGCCTTTACGACGAAGATGGCGCATTGGCATCCAAGATGTCTTTTGATGCAGAAGACTCATCCTTGGGGCGGATAGACACGCACTCTATCGCACCACCACAAACAGTCTCTTCGATGAGGTCTCAAATCATGAGGGTCGAGGGATTTGTTAATCGGACCGCCCAGCTGTTCCAAGATATGGAAGGAGAGGTGCTGATGAATGACAAGACTCACATATCCCTACAAGCGCAGGTTTACCCGGGACATGATGAAGATGAGCCCATAACGGCTGTTTGTAGTCAAGAGAAGGCTGGGGTGCCTCAGCCTGAAAACGGGGTCTTGGTAGGGCCAGTGGACACAAGCCTCTTGAGGCAGATCACAGGGGGGGCGACGTGGAGTAAGTAAAAATTAGCAGATATTCGTTGAGGTGGTACTCACACTTCTGACAGATCCAGATAAGAATCTCCAGGCAGACTGGCTTCCGTTCAAATACAGAGAGATCATGTACACAGATGGAGTCAAAACGACAGGCTACATCAAAGGGCGCCCGCCGTGTAAAGATCATTGACTATATATTATGGGGGTATTGCTCATGAATTCTTCACAGGGATCCCCTATAGCGGGTACATTGCGATGAACTCGGCTGGACGGAAGGGATGTGAGTCGCCAGTTCCGACTTTTTGGACGGCATGGATACTTACTGATGACGTTCGTTTTGCTAGTTGTCCATGAGGGTTAGTGACAGGTTTTCATGTGCCACGTCCCTTTTCAAATTTGCTCCGTCATCCACTCAGGTCATCTGTTACGTCTTTGACTCGTTGAGTGGACTTGGTGAGGAGCTTATGACAACCTCATCCTAACCATGGTTGTGCACACGTCTAGGGCGGTATAAACAAGCGTTTCTGTATTTCAAGACAGTCGAACATTGAGGATACGAAGGAGGATTGGAATTCGTCTCGCAGCTGAAGTGGTGCCTACCCTTTTGAGAGGATGCATTCAGAAAATCTGAGTCTGTTTTGGGTGATGGTTGACGCTAAGAAATCAGATCGATACACCATTCATACACCATACTTATCTCATTGTTTAAAATGATATGTATGCTCCAGAAGTTGGCCAGCTAATATTACGGCATTTGGAGGTTTTCTCTTGAGACTTGAAAAGAGAGAACGAATAGTTCTCATCGCGTGTGACAAACCCGGACCGCAATTGATGTCGACGAAGTATCACTCCTTGTTGTGAACGACACTTGTCAACACCAACATCATAATTTCGCCTTGGCCTCTCATCAGGCTAGCCGTCAGGAGTAGCCAGACTTTTCTGCGCATCGACTTCTTACGACCCGTGTCCATAGAGTTGGACCCCTGATTCCTAACGTACTGGTTCAAGAGGCACCGCTTTTAGGCAACATACACTGCATGGCATCGCTTTGTAGACGCCCATTCAATCCTCCTCCACGCTTTTGAGTGTTGACGAACCTCAGATGGCCTCAAATGCCATGTCAGAATCAACTGGGCGGCCGCAGCATGACCATCCGATGTCACATCCTGATCAAAGCTCATTGGATGGTCGAGTAGGGGAAGTGGTAAGTCTGGCTCAAAACTTCCCCAAGATCACTCTGCACGGTTTTAAACGTACCATCTAGCCCAAAACGCTTGACAGGAGCAGCCTTCGTTACAGTTACGTTGTCCTTCGTCATGTCCTTGCGTTTACGCTCATATAACGTTGGCTACGCTCCTACAGTATACTATCGTCTATACACCCAAGACGGTCCAATCAGGTCGAACAATCCAATCTACGCCAACAATCCATTCATCAGCCGCACTCTTCCAAAATTCCTCACACCCCCACGAACCGCTTTGTCTATTAAAAAGTATCTTTGCAAGATTGAGGGATTGTCGGGCCCCGCAAGTTCTACATTATTCGAGTCATTTTCAAGTCAGACTGCGGTTGAGGAATCCTTTCGATTGGCTGTAAGAGAGTATTCTGGTCCTGGGGTATCTGAAGATGACCCCATGGTTCTGGTGGTTGGAGTAGAAGATGCTGAAAAGCGACCAGCAAGCACGGCGCTGTTGGAGGGATTACCGGAGGCTGTACTGCCTGAGCCCCGTTATGGTGCGTCTCAAGATCTTGTTATTAACCCTGGCTTACTCATTTCATCCAGTCTATTATCGCCTTTACGACGAAGATGGTGTATTAACTTCGAAGATGTCTTTCGATTCGGAAGACTCTTCCTTGGGTCGCATCGAGACGCTCCTCATCCCACCGCCACAAACTGTCTCTTCGTTGCATTTCCAAGTCTTGAAGGCCGAGGGCTTCGTTGCTCGAACTGCTCAGCTGTACCAAGACATGGACGGAGACGTGCCGATGACCGATAATGATCACCTACCCCTTCAAGCCCAGGCTTACCCAGGACATCTTGAGGATGAACCTATAACGATTGTCTGTGGTCAAGAGAGTTCAGGAAAGGCTGAGGCACCTCAGGTGGTGACCCCACCAAGCGCAGTGGACTCAAGCCTCTTAATGCGGGTCAAAGGGAAGGTGGAATGGAGCAAGTAAAATCAGCAGATATTCGCTAAAATGGTTCTCACGCTTCCTGTAGATCCCAGTGAAACTCTCCAAGCGGACTGGCTTCCTTTCAAAGGTGGCGAGGTCATGTATACAGATGGCATCAAAACGTCAGGTTTTATTCGCGGAAGCCCACGTACTCCTCTTTCGTATATTATGAAAATAGTACTCATGCATTCTTCATAGATCCCTACAGTGGTTACGTTGCGATGAACTCCGCCGGACGGAAGGGCTGTAAGTCGCTCCTCCTGAATTCTTGAACGACTCGGGATGCTAATGACATCCATTCTGTCAGTTGTCCACAACGGTTAGTGACAGACTTTCTTGTGCGATCTCTTTTCTAATTCGTTCCATCGTCCACTTAGGTCATATAAGTGTGATACGATAATCACCCTTTCACCTTTTCATTGATGTTATGATCACTTAAATATGAAACGAATTACTGTTGGTATTCGACCTATCCAGGATTTCCCAGTTATGGTCGGTACGCCCCTGAGCTCATGAAGAGAACAGCTCACCACAACCTCGTCCAACCGTCCTTGTCTCACTCGTGGTACAAACGTTGAGCTTGTTATGGCATCAGAGATGTATCGCGCAGTGCACGTCTTGTGGAATACCTATAGGAAAGTCTGAGAATCTGTCCGACGATAACCGTGTTGTCCAAACTCACCATGTGTAGGATGAACGTTAACCTTCGCTGGTCCAACCGAGAGGCCTCTCTCAGGTTCACCCCAAAGAGATCTATAATAAAGCTCACACCATTTTCCGTCCCTGAAAAGTCGCAAAAATGGACCCCTCATTCCCGCTATGTTAAAGGGGGGCCCGGAAATCGAATACATCAGCAAGTTAGCAATTTACTTTTCTGGTTTTTCGCTTGCCACAAGAAAAAAAAATTAGCATCTCGAAAATATTTCTAGTAGTATCAATTTATAGAAAGTATGACACGATTTCAAATCCAATACTCCAACCCATGTTCCCCTTCAAGTTCTTGCCAGGGTCAAGTTGGTGACTGCCAGTCAATTGCTGCTCAAACAATTAATTGTAACATCGTGGAAGAGAAAAAACTGGATTGCATCACACCATCTCTGAATGGAAGAAACGTGCCCAAACCTGAGCACTGGTGTCTTCTTTGGCGGACGCTGTCTGAGAATAGCTGCTTTTAAGATTATGTAATATAGTGACGCGTCTTGGTCACGCGTCAAGAAATGTATTACGTAACACACATTTCAACCCCTTCTCGTCGGCGTGCCCCTCGACATCGTGCTAGACATCGTCGACGCTGGTCTAATCGCTGTCGATATCACTTCCGCCTACACGTAACTGAGCGCCAACGCAAATCACTACAGATCGATTGGTAGTTGGCTGAACCATAGCAGTGAGTCAGTCGATCATGGTCAACGGAGCGCGTGGTTGTGGGTGTCTCGATGGCTGGAACGAGCGAGCCAGTTGAAGGCCGTAACTGGCTGCAAATAGGGTTCTGAAATTGCTAGCTGTGATGCTCACGACTCTTTCTTCTCAGAAATCTAGACTTTGACATAGAGGAAAAGAACAATGGCACCAGGAGACCTTACCAGCATCGATCAGGTTGTACATCAAATCACAACGGCCAATAGCATTCCAGCCCTCAATGCTACTCTACGCAATGGCTTGCCAAAAGATACCCGCGATCACATCCTAGCAAGCGTGTTACCTGGTGGTCAAGATCCGCTTTCGGTCTTAGACGTGAAGGAGAATACTTTGGGAGTTCTTTACATCCTGTGAGTACCATTCCTTCATTACCTGAACCGTATGTCTCATGATCAGGTAGGACTGCACGTATGACGGTCCAAGGGGCGCCGCAGCCACCTTGGCCGGTGGTCCTCGACTTTTGCAGAAACTTTAGCCCAGAACAAGCTCGTCTGGCGCCAGATCGCGGTATGTTTATATAGCCATATTGCTCATCGAACAGCTTCTCATCTTCCTATAGTGACCATCCTCGCCAAGGGTATAAAAAGCATAGCTAGCCAGTCAAATAGCGTGGGCTCTCTCTTCTCTGATTAGATGAGGCCGTCACTAATGACCTCTCACAGTTAAGGCTGGCCATCCAACCACTTTATAATCTTGTCTCTCGCTATCCTCCCGATCCATCGTTCCTGACCACCATCCACGCCATATTTTTGACCGTACGTCTGCTCCCTCCCTTTCACGCGATCACAGTCTCACTCAGGGCATCTAGACATGTGTCACCACCCGCCAATTCGTAGAAGCCCTGCCAGTACTCGAGAACCCCATCTTCAACGTTGACACCAACCTTTCAGATCTGCACTACAACGACAACCTCATATATCACTACACAGGCGGTATCGCGCTCGCTGCACTGAAACGCTGGCCTGAAGCCGAAGAGTACTTTGAGATCTGCGTGACCAGCCCAGGCACCTATCCTACGGCGTTGCAGATGGAGGCTTTGAAGAAGTTGAAGTTGGTTCAGCTGATATCAATAGGAAAGGTTCGTTACCCTCTCCCCTGCTTTCACTGTATCACCTACGCGGATATGGAACAGACATCACCTCTTCCGAAATACACCCACCCCCTGCTGCTCCGTCTGTTCAAGAACACCTCGTATCACGCCTTCATCAACGCCTACCCACAAAGCACCGAATTGCTTCATGAGATATATGATAAAGAGAGGCAGACCTTCTCTGCTGTAAGTCCTTCACGTTCCTCTCTACCTCATCTAACCCATCCTGTGACAGGAGAAAAACTTGGGCCTGATCAGCCAAGCCGTCGCCCGTGCGCCTCGCTGGGTGTTGAAGAAGCTGACAGCCACCTACGTCACCCTTCACCTCGCGGACATTGGCAAAGCCATCAAGATCGGTTCAGAGGATGAGGTCAGGGGGCTTCTGCTCAGCATGGTGTGTTCATTCCCTTCATGCTTCATTCTTTCATCTACCTACGTAACACTCTGGTAGATCGAATCAAACGACATCAGTGCCCAAATTTCCGCAGACGGGACTGTGACGTTCTCGGACCCGCCACCGCAGTTCACGAAGGAACAAGTTGATGAGGCGTTGTTGGACGTTCAGCAGCAGACGGCGTTGCTTGGGTATCTGGAACAGGAGACTGGGAGGAGTAAGGAGTTTTTGAACAAGGTCTGTGTCGCGTCTTTTTCTCTTCTCTTCTCTCCCTCCGTCAATTCCTCTCGGGTGCTGACACGATGGCTCTTTTTCCTTTTGATAGGCTGTGAAGTTGAGAGATGACTCTCCCTGGGCACCAACGGCGGACGAGGAGATGTTTGTGAGTATGAGTGGGAGTCAGGCGATGTGGGAGGAGACGGTGTTTTCGTGATCATGTTCGTCTTGGACACTATTGTTGCGCCACCACCACTACCGCTGCATTTCTGGTTTCTGTTCTTTCCCTACCCATTAAACTTCCCATTGTACCAAAAGGTTGTACATTTATTCAATCGTTGGAAATTCTGTTCTTCACGACGTTTTCGGCGCTAATTGTCATGTCTTCCGGCTCTGATTGCTTCAACGACAAGGGCCATCACCAAGGGGGCCCCGGGAATTTATAAATTACCCGGGGTCGGTTTTTTTTTTTAAGAGTTTGAGTACCTCCCCCCCCATCTTCAAATATGTTATTCCAAGAAAAACATAGCAAATTTTGCTCATTTCTACATGTGAATCGACAATTCTGTACTAGTAAGACTCTGAGACATATTCTACGCCATGCGCGCACGTTTTCGCGTGCGGGCGTGATTCTCGCAGCGCCACCCCATCGGTGCAACCTCAAAATTCCTTTAGGCCCCGTCTCTGGTGATTGGGTCTGATTGGAGGAGTTGCTTAAGCCTTTCGATGCCGCTGCCAGTGATGATGTGGGGATTTTCTTCACTCCAACCTGGAACGATGTCTGTGTCCTTCCTTTCTCTTTCTTTGCTTTGCGTCCTTTCATGCAGGGCTTTTTTTCTTGGTCCTGGTCCCGCTGTTCCGACGTGCACATCTTCATCACACTCGGGGCATTTCACGGTTGCTGACGCATCATAGTTGATCTTCTCCTACTTCTATTTATTCTAGGTAGAATGATCAACTGTATTTGAGACTATAGAGGACTTAAACATCATACTACTGACCTTTCCTTTTGCCATTGTTGCTGTTCATGAGCCGTATGAAAAAAATCAGAAGAGATGAACCAGAAACCAAAAAAATATCCATTGTTCACCTAAATAGTGCTTCGAATATCCTGTCTGAGACGTCTGAAGCTTGTGGATGTGATGCGCCGTTGCTAGGTGCCGTTAAAAACATATTTTAAGAGGACTACTGCTAAATTTTTTTAAGCACTCTGAGAGAGCCCCCCCCCCTCTACCTCGGGTCACGGCTTCAATTCCCGGTACCCCCTTGGCCATCACAGCTATTTGATCAAATGCATACGATCAACCGCTTTCACACGTCCTGTTCGCGTTCTCTCCATCGAACAAACGTTCAGCAGGTAAAGGCCAAAGCATTGTTGCCATACAAGTAGGCAATGTCGTTGACTCGTTGGCCACCTGGCTGTCTAACGACAGAAGTAAGTATTTATGTGAATGGTCATCACTCAGGGCCGCTTACGACACAGAATCTCGAAATTGCGATACTCAGGTGCGTTGAATTCACGAGAACACATATCATCTGGGCAACAGGAAATATTTATAAAAATCCATGCATGGCCCCGCGGAATTGTGGTGGCGAAAGAGCTTCCTCCCCTCCCGAGGGCCTATCGTCAACAAGCGAAGAAAGAAAGTCCTCCCCGGAAATACTGCTCATCGTAGGACGACTCTCTGGGTCTCGATCCCAGCACTGCTCCATCAACCTCCACATAGAATCTGTGAGCCCCCATTCGATGAAAGGCGCACTATTCTTCGCAGGGCGAGAAGGACGTCTTCCCCCCATAACTTTTATCGTGACGCTGTACTCTCGGGATATCTCATAAAACGGAACCTGACAGGTGAAGATCTTTGTAAAATGTGTTAACTGCCAAGAAAGCCGGCACTGGACATATCACACGTACTTCGTAACATACACAAGAAAAGGCATAAACATCAGTCTCTTTTGTTGGCTTGAAATTCTCGTTTTCCGAATCGATTAATTCCGGAGCTTGCCAACGAACAGTTCCCCCGGTACTTGCAGAACTTTCGGACGTCCACGTTAGCATTTCAGCGTCAACGTGATTAGAGAGACCGAAGTCTGCAAGACAGGCTCTCCCGGATTTTGTTATAAGGATATTCACCTATCAATCAATCCCTTTTAGTAGTGTTTTCAGGAACATAGACAACTTGTGGACATTCACCCCCTTTAAATCTCCGTGAACAATAGCTTTTTGATGCAGGTATGACACACCAGCAGCAACATCGGACACCTTCATCACAATCAGAGCAATTTGTTTTCCTTATCGCAACGAAAACGCACCAGGAAGACGCGATCCACCCATGGATTTTCGGGGAGATAGTCCTTTATATTTCCATTATTCATCCATGGAGAGACCAGACATACTCTCCCATGCCCATCGTCGAGATGATATATTCCGTAAAATGGAAGCAAATTTGGATGCGAAAGCTGGCTCCACAAAATTGCTTCCTTAGCAAAAACCTAAAAATAGTTGAAGTCGAAATTAAGTATTATTGTTGCATGAAAAATGGGAGGAACACACTTTCAAAAGGTGATCAACATGAGATTGCTTATAGATCTTGACGACCTTGAGACAAACTTGTTGATCGCGAAACTTCCCCTTCCAGATCTCCCCAAAGTGCCCCGAGGTAACGGCGCAATCGTCTTCACGTACAATGTCTTTTAGAATAATACACTCTGGGTATAACCCACTTTTGCGGGTTAGACGAAGCAAGGCTGAAAGCAGCCTGCTCCTTCGGGTTGAGTTCGATTGTGGGTAGTCGAGTAACTTTTAATCGCGGTCAACGTGAACAAAGATTTGAGGATGAGAAACTACTCACCCATTGGAGAGAATTGAGGACTATTTTAGCATCGTCTCCTTGAACATTGAGAAGTGTTTTGCAAGAACGCTTGTTAGAAAAAACAAGGTCAAAAATTGTGTGCAGTCGTGCGGCCGCTTCGTCCAGTGGCAGTATTTGAGATGCATCAGCCTTTAGATCTTCCATCACCTTTCGAATTGCGGAGAAGACGCATCTGACGGCCTCTACATCAAGTACATCCCCAGCTGCTGGGGATGCCAGGGCCGTTGAACTTAGAGCGTCAAAGTTGATATCGTCCTTTCCGGCGCTTTGAGGCCATTCTTTGCGTGATTTCCGGTTGTCAAGATGGGAAGGTATCGAGGTGGCTTGAGTTTGAGTTTGAATAAAACTCTCGACTGCAGCCCAAGGAGAAGTTGGATAATTATTTACGCTCCCCGCCGATCGCATCGAGGTTGATTGGGTGTGTCGAGGGAGAATAAGAGAGTTTACTTTCGGCAGAGTTCCAAGATCATCTCTAGTAAATTGTGCCGACCCTCCGGAGACTGAAAGATCCATTTCAAAGATATTTTCATCGTTACTCGCCTCAAAGGATGAAATGGGAAGCTTCTTCCAATCAAAAACATCTTCGGTGGATTCTCTCGATTCCGGAAGATCCATTTCGAAAATATCTTCGCTACTGTCGCTGGGTAGTGCAGAATCGTGATCGAATGAAGTGGGAAGCTTTTCCCAACCGGTTTCGGTATTTTTAATAGGCTCCGTTCGTGACTTTTGGTGTGTTGCAGTGTTTGCCCCAGTGGCAGCATCAAGCGGAGGATATCTCCCATTCTGCAGAGCATTGTTCGGCATCGAACCAGAGATCTCTTGCACGGTACGCAGCGATCTGATATTTGAATCTTCGACTTCTTGCAAGCAGAGTTGAAAGACTTGTCCTAAGAAATTAATGTTATCTGAGGACCCCGCGGGTCGCCCCCGTATTTATATGCTCACCAATTATATGGGCATCCATTTTCGCACTAATCTCCACCGATGCGCATGTATGACTGCTGGCAAATACCTTGGGCTCCCATCTGAACACTTCGCGTCTGTCCAAAGAATGCGTTAAATCAAGCTCCAAAACAACACCAGGGAAATCAACCTTTCTTCGAGATCAAGTTTTGAGCCAACAAGCACACATGGAACTCGAGTCAGCCCGCCAAAGTCTAGTATCTTCCTGTAGATAATTTGCGCCATTCTGAAAGACTCGCGAGATGTTATCGAATATACGATGATGTAGACATGTATACCAATGGCGTATCGTCCAGCCAGGGGTGTATACTCGTCCTGCATTGATTCAACTATTTTGTAGTAGCAGGAGGATTAACGATACAAGCATACCTGCCCAGGCGTGTCAATTATATGACAGTCATATTCGAGGCCATTGTAAGCGATGTCTTTCATGAAATTGCCTTCAATCGTCGGGTAGTAGGCGTCATTAAAATGGTTCTAGTTGCATCATGATTTGGCAATTGAGGTATTTCGAAGGAAAATCCCGCACCTCTATGAATTGGTTCACAAGCGATGATTTACCTGCGGAATCATTAGTTGGAAGGGACTTGAGTGGAAGCTTTCAGCGACTTGCCCACTGACCGAGCTCCCAAGATTACGATCTCGCGCTTCTTCAAGTTCATGCCGGGATCCCAGGTCAAAGTCACAACAAATAGGGAGATGATCTCTCCAGTTGTTGTGAAGCAGCCTTTTTGAAAGTATCTGGGGCTGGAAGTAGTCTGCGTTGGTCACTCGTGGTTAGAGAAATGCTCACAATTGTGCCAACGGTGGTGATGGTGATTGAGGATCCGATCGTGATAAAAATATGCTGGATTTAACCTCCAGCGCCCGGTTCGAGACGGCGTTATTGGGACTTTTGAACAGCCTCACGGTGCCACCGGATGTTTCCATAAAGCTGTATGAGGCGCAAAACTAGTCGAAAAAAAAACAAGCTCAGTGTCAGCCCAGGCGGGATACATAGCCACAAAACTGTCAAAGCAGGTGTTATGCCACAATTGTTTTGCCAAGACAGAACTCTATCTGCCGTGAGATGATATCAAAGGAACAGCGAACAAAGCAAACTTACAGCTAAACTCATGTTGATAGACCCACTTCGCGAATAAGTATAGCCAAGAGGTGTCAGATCCACCGATTCTGGCCGTCAGATTCATTTATGACAAAGCACAAGTGGTGATATCCGAAGGACGGCATGTCAGCGGCATCTAGCATTCCCATCAACTCCGCTGCACAAGCGTTTGAGCGTCGATTTTGAGTCCAAGGCTCGTGTACCACAGGATATCACCTATCCATAGTATTCACGAAACTACATCAAATCAGAGGTAATGTGAATTGTGCTAATTCTTGAAGAAGAAGCGAGGATAATATATGGGAGGACAATTTCAAAGAAAGACATTTGAGTCAGTAGTAGTAACACTGCAAAAAAAAGATGGTGGGTAGTGAATTGATGGCGTTGGTAGTTGAATAGATGGGATTAGAATTTAATGATAAAATGACAAAGGATTGGTATTTTTCTCCCTCGGCCTCTACCTCGCTCATTGGGATTCTGGGAAGTAAGATAGAAGATACAACTTACAGCTTACAACGGGTTTGCATAGTGCACATCGGTCATGGTGCTAGCCCTTGTCTATCATCTGGAATGCCTAGTCTTGTTCCTTCCCCTTCACCTAGAGTGATTTTTTCACGGAACTCTTAGAGTTGCGAAGAACGAGAGATCATGAAGGGGAGCAATGTTGTCAGTAGGAGTATTTTAATCAATTTGATTGAACGAGGAGGTAGAGTAGAATTGTCCGAAGAGAGAGAATGTGGTTTCACAAACTTATTCGACCATTTTCCGAAGCAAGGACGCGTCTGGAGATTCGGACGAGGGTGAATGCAGTACTGATACCATTTTGATTTCATAGAATAAGCCGTCTCAAGCCGCATCGTGCGAGATTCCCTAATATGGTATGAGGGTGGTACCCTCATGCTGTGGGAACAACGGTCGGGATCGGAGGATCTGATGCCTCTTGAGTATAGCGTTTAGCCGCTTTGTTTATGTTGGTGCCTGTACAAAGCTTATTCCAGGAAAATGTGCGATTTCACTGGGCTTGAGACAGGCAGACATGAATACAAATTAATATTTGATGTCAGAAATAATGTGTCGATAGTTTCCGATGGCTACGATAGAGGGAAACTAGCAGGACGCGAGTTGACCAATATTTAAGGTTGAACGTCCTCAGATTTATGACCACGTTTAGTTAGTTCTATTTGTTCGTATAAACAAGGTGGCTGAGCGCTGCATTTGCAAAGTGGGTCTATCGATGTGAGTTTAGCTGTAATAATAGTGGGTGACTTCCCGTAACATAAATTCGCTAGATTTAAATAAATCGACGAGATCTAGGGTCTTTTGCCGGGATGCCGAGTCTTGTAAGGGTTCGACTTTGATGGAGGTCCTGGTTGGCACCCAGTTATAAACCTTAATCTATTCAGAGGGTACAGACCCCTCGAATAGATTTCAAACACTGGAATCAACCCTGCCATCATGACACCTTTCCTTCCTGGGTACGTTTTCTTCCCACCTAGCTTAGTCAGCTCTACCTCATCCTCTCTACTCTCCTACGGCTGAGGGCAGTCTGCTCTCTCGTTATAATTTGAAGCCATTACAGAGTTTATTAGTAGTGCCAACGTCCTCTGGTTCCAAAATTTCCTCTCCGAAGCTGTTTTTCCTTGCACAAACAATCTTCTCAGCACATAACTCACAGAACCACAGCATGTTCAGCTCAAGTTGACATTTTCTCGGCTTCATTCATTGTGTGTCCTACTTTATGGCTGATATGATTGAGCATTAACTATAATACACCCATCCATGGGCCTGTGTGTCCTCAAAACAGCTCAGATGAGAGGGAAGTAAGTTTATTCATGTTAGGTGAATAAATCTAATCAGCTGGCGTTACGGTTTATTTGCTTGATTAAATCGCAAGCCAGGGTACCCATTTCAAACTCCGATAAGGGTCAGATTTATTCGTTTATATAGATTTATGTTACGGGAAGTCACCCAGTGTAGAGTATGTTTACACACCAGCCGCGGAGATAATGCAAGCTCACAGCCGACAATTTAAACTTGCGTCCCAGTCCTCTGAACCCACGCCCTCAGCGACAACGAAAAGACCATGAGAGTCGTACTTCGCCTTGATAGATTTCAACCTCTTGTAGTGTGCCCCGAAATACGTCTTCTTGAAGTCCTTCTCATGCAAAGACCCCTATTCAAGTTTGCTTTGAGCGTTTGAGCGGAAAAGTTACATAGAAAACGCACCTCGTTCAAATATGAAGCCGAATCCACCGAGAGTCGGTCTATAATCTCGGTATTATTCTTCAAACTCTCCACGGCCAGATTCACCACGGAGCTCGAAGAACCGGCAGGCCAACCGACGGTTACATAAACTTCACCAAGAGTTTTCCGCCATGCTGGATTTAATCCAGTCGATTCAGGGTCTGCTTTCGCAACTGCGCCCCCTGCGACAAAGCTACAATGAAGACGAGGTAAAATTTTGAAAAAGAATTCTGAAAATTAAACTCACTTCATCGAGACCCCGCCATCCACCGTCAGCATCGTCTCTGCTACAGTTTCCGGGTTTGTTATCGTCAGGTCCGTGGATAATAACCGAGAAGCAATCTCGACTGAATATCCCACTTGTGCTATTTCGTTGGCGAACAGAGAATTGTACGCCGAGTAAAAGGAGTCAAAAGAGAGCATAGTGAAAAACAACGCCCCGCCCGTCGCGTTCCGCGTAAATTCGAGGAAGGGTAAGAGTGTGGCGTTGGCCTCAGTCGTTGAAACATTGGGCGCAGTGTAAAAGAATTCAATATTATCGTTTGACAAAGACGAATACCCTCCCCAGCCGGCGGCTGCGAGCCCTGGATGCAGTTTGACGTATTGTGTTACAACCTGCAGTGCCACAGCGGGGGACGAGAAGTTGGCTTTCACCACAGGCACTGTGAGAGGGAATTCTGGGTATGTACGGTATGTGGCAGACGTCACGACACCGTAAGTTCCCCCGCCACCCCCTCTTAACGCCCAGAAGAGATCAGAGTTTTTGTGGGCGTTGGCCGTGAGATGGTCACCAGCGGAATCGACAATAGTAAATTGGATGACGTTGTCGACACCTTGAGGAGGGCAAATATGTCACTCAAAGCCTGCACCTAAGCAAAGTTCACTGACCGAGTCCATGGCGGGACGAAAAGGCGCTGTGGCCCCCACCCATGACCCACCCACCAGCAGCACCAACAGATCCTCCGGCTGATAGACCGCCAATCACGAATCGCCCTTGTTGATGCGCGGCGACATAAGCCTCGTTCCACTGCACACCGGCACCAAGTGTGACAGCTAGAAAGGAGACTCAGCCGACATGAAAGGTAGGCGTGTAGAATCACCTTACCGTTGTAGGTCTCGCTCGTGGAAGGAGCGCCTTCTGGAACGAATGAAGCATTGAATGTGATGTTCTTCAGATGATGTGTCCAAATTAGAAAACTCCCGCGAGCAGTGCTTCGTCCGAGATAATCGTGCCCAGTGTTTTTCACAACTAAGCGCAAGTTGTACTTGACCGCAAATTTCACTGCCGCTTGTATATCGCCGACGACTCTCGCGTCCACCCCGACTGGAGGCACGCTCCCTTGGTCGCATGGAAACCCGAGGGTTGTGTTCAAGTAGCACCCATCGATCGTCCCATTCTTGAAGGTGTACGTTTCAAAATTAATGTTCTGTAGTGCGCCTGGTTGATCGGACCGCCAACTCCCATTGTAAAAATTGGCGGTAACATCAGTGCAGTTTCCGGAGGGTGACGATGGGGTATAACAAGCATACGCGGCAGGTACAGGCCGTAGGAGTGGTTGAAAGACGTTGGCCGAGAGGGCAGCAAAGGCTGATTGATCGGGCCAACAAGGCTCTCCATACAGACAGCGACAGACGGCGGAAGACTGGCTCGCCGCAACAACAGGATATAGGAAAGAAAAGTAGTGCTGGATCTTCATTGAGATGGATGTCAGTATCAGGTCTTGTATTTATAGGAGAAAACGGACTCACGCGCCAAGGCCGTCGTATGCTGCGGCCTAGCACAGTTGTTGTTGGGAAATGCCCAAGAAATGCCCAATGGACGTCGGCGTCATTGATCCTTAGCAAGAATTTTCCTTCGTCTTGATTTGCTCCATGAACCATTAATTGGACTGAAATATTGGCTGCCCACCACGTATCGTTGAAAATTCTCCTTACCACAATGGTCCCTCAGTATCAATATAGCGATTCATGTTGAAGCGATGGGCCTGATAATCATCTCCCTATTCACACGAGGCATGGAGGTGACTCTGCTTGAAGTAACGCATTATTAGGGATCCGCAGCGTGTAAAAGTGCACACCTCTCGGTACCGAGTTTCTGGATTTCCTAGTTAGCCATATATTATTATGCAGGGGGCCACTGGTTATTGCTGTGTTTCGCCCGCAGTGTCAAATCCGTTTGTAGTCAACCTTCGAGAGCAACGTGTAAATTGTGGCGGTGGCATCAAGATGGTAAGGATCGGTGGAGGAAGAAGAGTCGAACAGGCTTGGCCAAAATCAACAAAGAACAACAAATGTTTTCTTTTGTTCTCAACTTCTGCGTATCAGGTTGCGTGGTATACTTACCCCATCATGGCCGCGATGAATCAAAGAATCTAGTCTCAAAAAATCCCCACATGCCGCCTCGTTAGTTGCCTCTATTCTCTATGACTCCTTTGCCGATTGACCACCCCAGCGCCGCGGGCCAGCGGCAGCAGCGGGCCGATAATCTGAAATGCCGGGCCGTCTCTTTGCCCTCAATAAAATGAACTCGACATCCAATAGACTCCAAAGAAACTCAACATGGCCATCTCCGAATTCAGCCCCTTCGCAGCAAACCCCCTTAAGACGAGGGATGATCTCACCAACTTCCTAACTGGGCTGCTCGACCCGCTGGCCTCTCACACCTCGCCAGGAGGAGCGCGAATCCATCTGGGACATACGGCGACCCATTACGACGACATAGCTGCGCAGCTTGAGGGATTTTCTCGGCCCATATGGGGGTTGGCATCGCTTCTCGCCGGAGGCGGTGAGTACGAGGGAAGGAAGCGGTGGTTGGAAGGGTTCAAGAATGGGACTGACCCGTCGAGCGAGGAGTTCTGGGGGGAGATGAGAAATAAGGATCAGCGGATGGTAGAATGTTCGGCGGTAGGGTTCGGTGTTGCTGTTGCTAAGGAGAAGCTGTGGGATCCGCTCAGTGATGAGACGAAGAAGAACTTGGAGGATTGGCTTGGTGGGATGAACGACAAGGAGATGCCGAATACAAATTGGCTGTGGTTCAGGGTATGCGTTGTTCGGCCTGGTGAACGTGTACCAGACTGATAAGTTCACCCTTGGCAGGTTGTCGCCAATCTTGGGCTTTCCAGGACCGGTTCTCCTAGATTCGACTCGGCACGTATGAAAGCGGACCTCGACCACCTGGACACGTTTTACATTGGCGACGGCTGGTCGCGAGATGGGCCAGAGGGCGTTGTCCAACTCGATTACTATTCGTCTTCGTTCGCCATCCAGTTCGCCCAACTTGTCTATTCAAAGCTTGCTCAGGCCGAAGATCCGCAGAGGTGCGAGGAGTATCGGAACAGAGCCCGCCAGTTTGCCCTCGATTTCGTCCACTACTTCGATGAAGAAGGTGAGCGCAGATCGTGCGATGAGAATGTCCTGCTGAGCGGATGATTAGGTCGCGCAATACCCTTTGGACGAAGTATGACATACAGGTTCGCCATGTCTTCCTTCTGGGGTGCAGTCGCCTTCGCAGATCTTGATCTCCCAGCACCACTTACGTGGGGTGTTGTTAAAGGGTTGCAGCTGCGCAACCTTCGCTATTGGGTGAAGCAACCCGGCGCCTACCACCCCGACGGCACCCTGACGATCGGTTTTTGCTATCCCAATTACAATATGACCGAAAACTACAATTCCCCCGGGTCCCCGTATTGGTGCTGCAAGTCCTTCATCGCTCTATCCCTTCCCGAGACACACCCATTCTGGGCAGCCGAAGAAGAGCCTTATCCTGCGTCATTGCGGGGAACGACGAAAGCGATAAACCATCCTCTTCATATCGCCACCAACCTAGGCGGACATACATTCCTCCTATCTTCAGGTCAACAGTGTTCATATCCCGTCAAACAGAGCGCAGCCAAGTAGGGAAAGCTGGCCTACTCATCCGCATTTGGGTATAGCGTACCCGTGGGGAATGGTACGCTTGAGGAGCTTGGTGGAGATAATACATTGGCTCTCAGCGACGATAACGGGGATACCTGGAAATGCAGGCGAGATACTAGATAGAGAACGGAAAGTGGCTCAGATCGATGTGGTACCCTTGGCCAGACGTAGAGGTCGAGACCTGGCTAGTACCGCCTCAGCCAGAATCGCCTTGTTGGCATCTTCGAGTGCACAGAATCAAGTCAGGCCGGAAATTGACCTCTGCCGAGGGCGGATTCGCGATCTACGGACAGAAGCGATAGAAGAGCGCTTGAACCGAGCACTGGAGAGGCGTTTGGAACGTTCACAGAGGGTGCGGAGGGGCGAGCAGCATCCCGAGCGGGGGTATCGGGCATCGCTGATCTCGGGACAGGCAGGACTGGGCAAGTGCTTCGTGTTGATGCCAATTCTAATCTTATCGAGGCACGAGCGGTTCTGCCCACACTTATGGCGGAATGTGACAAGGGGAAGGATCAGAATGTTTGGTATATTACTGGCGTTTTCGCCATTCCCAGCTCGGGGGACTTGGGTGCGCCTAAAGGTTGGATGAAGGAATGGGAGAGACGCACAACGATACCTGAGGACATATATGAATTTATGAAACCTGCCTCGTTGTAAGGTTGATCAAGGTGAGGTTGGCAGACGTACTGTACGATTATGAAATACACCCTCCTTGGCGGCGGAGTCTCTTGGACAGTATGAGATGGTGTGTTTCTGCGGAAACAAATGTACTTCAGTCTTCCATGACGGATCGCAATTTGGAGTTTACAAGGCTTGGTCAATATTGCAATTCATATCGGCTCTCTCGAGCGCTTGGTGGATAACGGCATTGACAGAACGCGAGGCAAGTCAAAGTACCTGATTGTGGTCCGTGGTCGATCTTGCGCCACTCAGCAGATAACACTGATTCCTCCATTCGAGTGGACAACCAGGCTCGAGGTTCAGCTACTACGAGCTACTGCACTGGTGGTGCCGGTGAACCATAGCCCAGAATAAGTAATCTCGTTGGCTGGTTTTGAGGCGTCTGCAGACAGTGTCAGTAATCTTTAATGTGGACAAGAAGAAACCTTACAGCGCTAACGCCCTATCTCGCATCCTCGCCGTCAACTTTCAAACCTTCTTGGACGCGACGCCCGGTGCTCATGCCACCAAGCTCCCACGCAGTTAAATCTGACTTTTGAGCCTTTTCTTTCCTCAGTCTGGAAATGGTCGTTAACAGTCGCCCAAAAAGAATGTTCTGAGGAGATAAAGATGCAAGGAGCAATGAAGGTCTTTGCAACGGCCAGTTATCCTATAAGTATGGTAGAATTCGAAACGAAAATATCAGCTTGGGCTTTGAACGTTTGAACATGGACATACGGCAGGGTCGCGTCCATCAATTGCTCGCGGTAACCGATCAGATCCAAATCTGAGGCTGTCCTTTCGCGTTGTATCCAAGCCTGGCCTCCCTGTTGTTCTTTGGAGTTCACAAAGCATCTTGTCGAGGAGGAGTACAAAAGACGAGACACGCTGATCCATAATGAAGGTCATAATTAACGGGCCGCCGGATCACCTCGTGTGCAACGAGAAGAAAGGCTGAGGAAGGGGAGGCAAGTGCCAAGGGGCAACTACAAAGGGTCACAAATTTGTCAGGTTTGACTTAGCTTTGACGGGAAGAATGTTCAGGAATGCTCGTAACGTAATCTCAACGCTTTTCGCTTTGCCTGTGGCTTTCCCCGACTTACTTATGTTCCCTTCTCACTTGTAGATTCCTTGATGGACGCCCTTTTTTCCACGAGATCCAGCACTTGACACAAGCCCGCCAGTTCAGCGCCTGGCTTATTCAAACGGATCTTTATCGTCCCTCCTCTGGCTGGCCATTTTGGAGAACCGACTGCTGTGCAATCGATACAACGCAATCGACTTGCCATCCCGGAGACACGTTAGAATTTATAGAAAACGCCGCACTGCATTCATGTCTCGGCTCAATCAATCTTGTTGCCGGAAACCGACCTCGGAGAATGTCTCACTCAAGCAGAGGATAACGGATGTTGTCTTGCGCTCCATTCAAGTTTTTCTCCCAATTTCAACTCTGTTGGAGTCGACGGATGTAGGGGAGGATGGGGCACGGTTAACCTGTGCAGGAGGCTGTTGTTCAACAGGAGGCTGGGGGTATAATCGGTTGGTGCGAGGGCGACGCCAGGTGGCAAGCACGTCAGTCTCCGTTTTTTTCGCCTGATGTTTCGCCTTTCTCATCTGACGGTCAGGCAATCATCATCATCGACACTTATTGCGGCGGACGTGTCACTTTCTGATATTGCCCAGGTTTCAGTGACGGGTGTTGCATCTATAGGTATGTTTTACTGATCCTCAAAACGAAAGGTCTCAAATGATGTGATTAGCTGCAGGTACGAATGACACAACAACGCAGCTTTCATCCTTTCCGCAAGGCACCCCAACCTTGGGCAGTGGCACAACACCACGGACTCAGCCCACTCGTTGAGTTCTTGTGTTTTCTGCAAATGTGTCTCAGCTGACCCTTGTTCAAAAGTGGAAATCTCGTCTACCTTGGCAAGCTCGGCCGCAGGTGCGTTGAGTTTTCCATCTTTGTTTCCGAACTTGCGATAAGATGAATTTCAGGTACGGCGGCCATGAGCACAAGATCTAGCACGAGTTCGTCCGTTTCTGCCCACTTGCAAAATACGATGGCTGACGGCGGTTTCAAAAGTAGCTATTGTGTCGACGCCCGCCTCTGGCGGTGGTATACCCGGGAGTGGGCCAATAACCTCCGCTACTTCTCCGTCGTTGAGTACGGGACTTCAAGTGAGCTATCATGTGTTCATGACATCTGCTTTGCTCATTAGCTCTCGTTCTAGATACCAGCCTCGACGACAGGCAGCGTTTCAGCGTCCCCGACTGTTGTTGTTTCTCAGGCGACAACTTCAGTCCTTCCTTTGGTCACAACTCCTGTTTCCATCTCGCTGACAGCTGTTCCTTCCCCTCCACTGATAACCTCCGTTACCCCTCTACCAACAACTTCCACTACTCCTGCACAAACGACTTCCCTGACGACGACGACCTCTAGGTTGTCAACATCTACGACCACCTCCACATCGTCAACATCTACGACCACCTTTACGTCGCCAACATCCACCTCCTTCTCGACCGACAATCAATCGATAACAACTCCCGGACCGGCTTCAACGCCCACGACCATGTCAGAATCCAGTACGGCCACGTCGACCCTGTCCAAGGTCGACGGTTTAAGCTCGTCCACCCTTTCCTCACTCACGTCTTCTACGTCCTCATCTTCTGTCACCGTTTCAAGTATCCTTTCAACGACCACGCTTTCCACTGTATCTGATCCAAAACCATCAACCATAACTTCAAGTAATTCGGTGGCGCCAGTAACCTCACCTCCTCCATCGCCCGAGTAAGCATGCTGCTTGCTTTGCTTCTTGTATCTTATCACTTACCTACCCCTCAGATCAATCACCTCCTTTACTTCGACGTCCTGGATGTCGACTCCATTACCTTTGACGATTTCTTCAGGTATCATACTTTTCATCACGATTTCATTACCATTCACTCAAAGTTTGGCCATTTTTACCATAGCCCCTCGTATTTCCACTCTGACCATCACCACCGTCTGGACCAGCACCTACTTTGGGGGTCAAGTGACTATATATAGCACTGTTGTCGAGACCGGAATCCTAAGCACAGATTCACCCAAACCAAATGGGTTTGTCGTGGCTCCTCTTTACAAGATCATCACAAAGCTTACTCCTCCTCTAGGTTTGCACGTAATACAGGAGGCATTATTGCTGTCGCCATTTCGGCAACGTTGGTCCTCATTCTTTTGGTTGTCCTCATCTTCTTCACGTGCAGAAGATACCAATTGCGACAAACCCTTGGTGGGTCGAGCGAAAACTTCCTCACCACCCCTCACTCGGTATGGAGGCCCCCGCTCGGGGACGACGACGACGAGAATGACAACCCCTTCTTTGCTGTCTCCGCCCATCCCCACCAACCTCCACCTGTTGCAGATCGGCATAGCGGGGAGAGCGGCGATCGGAGCACTGGGCCAGTGGGAGGAAGCGCTGAGGGTGTTACATCCGGCTTTCCCTTGCAGCGAAGTCCGTCGTTTGGAGGGCAGCCATACATGCCTGGTCTTGGGCAGACCGTTCAGACTGTGGTGGGCAATGGGCCCGTGGTGCTCTCTCACAACTATACATTGCCTGCAACCACGTCGGCATCGGGATTACTCGCTGCTAACACTTCTGCGTCCGCTCTTGACATTCCAAACCAGGTCGCTGCGCGAAGCGCCACGTCGCTTCCCATGAAGGATGCTTCCTCGTCACAAAGCCACGATCTTGGATCTTCATCTTCGGATCATGCACCCTTGACAATATCAACTGGGAATCGGGTTTCTCTCCCTGCCCCTCGAGCGTCACCCACTCCAGGTGAATCGAGGCGGCATAGTTCAACGCCTTCGACCAGTCTCGCTGAACATCAGATCGACATTGAGAGGAACCTCAGTGTGGGTAGCCAGCGCGGGTTTGGGTTCCTCAAAGGCCTACGGACGAAGCGGAAAAGCTCGGCTCAGAGCATTTCGACCGTGAAGGGTACCCCACAGGTTGAATCATCGCGGGAATCACTGAACTCTCGTTCCATGTCGTTCTATAGAGCGAGTCAGGGTCCGTCTTCGCTGCTCAATCCTGGACCGCCCCTTGCGCCGCCGTTGCTTCGCTTTCCTCGGGGGGTGACTGGGGAGAGCCATAAGGAGGGTCCGATGCCATCACCTCTTTGGCCGCCTGTGACCTTACCGCCGTCCCCTGCACTAACGGCTAACTCCAGCATGATAGAAGGGCTGCTGCATCCGCGGTTGGGGATGGCCCTGGCGGACTCCCATCAGGCGAGTTTAGCGAGTCTGAGAGACAATGAGGATTACACGCGGCCTATCAATGGGGTACGTCCAATCTCTCCAATTTCGGTCCAAACGATTGACGGTCTCTATGTTTGATCTTTAGCTTCTCTTAAATAGTCACCTTCGGAGTACGACAACACTGGAAACTCAAGACACGCCTGGGGGGTCGGATGCCGTTGGCGTTGCTTCGTGAAAGCTGCTGGCATGAATGAATAAAACTTCGCGGGTTATAGGATTGTTAAAATTTGCGTTCCGTCTCTATTGGATATACGTTTTTAATTAGACACGAGAGGGGTGGAAGGGTTGCTTAGTCCGCTCGCCACCTCTCCGTAATTATGAAGCTGTAGTAGTATATTGCAATTACCGTACTGTATGTCATAGTTATACCCATGCTGCATAAATAAATTGGTGTCAGCGACGGGGTCTTATACCGTCTGAGCCAACCAAAAAAATCTGATGTGAGATGTCCACACTCCCCATCGTTGTCACTCGCCTTTGAGTGTTGTGACTGACGAATCGATGAGGCAGTGAGCTCGGGCTCTTGGCACAATTCATCAATATTCTGTCATCGCTTATCCGAACCAAACCGCCGTCGTCATTTTGCTTCTCAATCCTCTCAAAATGGACACCGAAAATTCAAAATGAAAATTACTTTCACTAGGTCACTGCTGAGCGCTGAGCAGGCTATCGTGTAAGAGAAATCTTTTGAGAAAATTTCTCTCTCTTGGACATCAGCTCATGATCACATGCTTAGCCAGCGTAACGTTTAGGGCCAGCAGTTGTTATGCTAATCAATCACTGCTTTCCCAAATTCCCAGCGCCGTGCACGGCCAACTCCTGGCTCCCCAAACCGTCAAAAGTTGTCCCGAGCATCTGGAAAGTCCCAGTTTTTGCCCATCCGGCTCCGGCAAAGATAAGATATGAACTTACTATGCCCTACCAGCACCTCGGCGCACCCTACGAGTCGGCGGTCACTGATCGTCACGAATTTTGGCTGGACAAGTGTGATGTTGCGTGACAACTTGGAAAACGAGAGTCACGCTTGTCCAGCCAAAATATGTGACAATCAGTGACTGCCGACTCGTAGGGTGCGCCGAGGTGCTGGTAGGTCATAGTACTATCCGAATCGTTTGTCATCAGGCAGGTGTCTGATGGTCTGTTTTGCGCAGTGTAATACTAAATGTCTGTGGGTCCCAATTCTCCAGATATGTGCTCGTCGAATGACACATAATTTTTCGAGTAGATCTTTCTGGCTCGATTCAAAGAGATATAAATGCAGCTTCTCGCTCGATCTGCATCGCAACGGGCCTTCAAGCTTGAAAGTTCTGCTAGGTTCTGCTTGATTTTGCAGACGTCTTCTCCGTCGACCCTGCATGCCGAGACCCTGCAGGAAAACTAGACTGTAACTGGGTATCTACATGGAACATACATTTCCAGGGTATAAATGTCCCACCCATCCTCTGACGCAGGGCGACTATTTCGGATTTCCCTCATTGCCATTCAACTCTTTTCCTAGTCTTCATGATCCAGATTGACCTTTTAGCAAGCTCAACAGCTTTCATCCTCGCTCTTTACTTCTACCTCAAACGTTCCGATGAACGTTCTCTTTCGAAGCTTCCACTACCCCCTGGACCCAAGGGCGCGCCGCTCATTGGCAATCTGAAAGACATGCCAACAACCTTTGAATGGCAGACGTACCACAAGTGGTCCAAAGAATTCAGTGCGTTGCCGAATCGTGTTTTCCACTCCCACTCACCTATTGCTAGATACCGATATCTTGCGACTCTCCGTTGCCGGTACAACCCTCATTGTCCTCGACACTTCTGAAGCGGCAACGGAACTTTTGGAAAAGAAGTCATCAATTTACTCCGGACGGTGTGCCATTTCGTGTGCTCAATCTGATCTAGCTTATGTGAGACGGCAGGGCACGAATGCCTATGATTAACGAATTGATGGGCTGGAACTTCAACTTTGGCTTCATGCAATATGGTACGCCTCTCTTTAATCTTTCTTCGAACAAATTCATAGACTTCAATCGTTCGAAGGTGACCGGTGGTACGTCAATACAAGTTTCTGTCAACATCTGTTGAACAAGTCGTTTTGTAATTTGTAGGCGCAAACATCGAAGGATTATGCACCAGACCTTCCACCCCTCGGCTGCCCGCCAATTTCGTCCGCATTCCCTGAAGGCTTCGCGTAACCTTATTCGTCGATTCTTGGACAACCCAGATGATATCATCGGAAATTTGAGGCAGTAGGTTTCTGCAGTCTGTGTGGCATGGTCACTCCTTCTCACTGCGAGCCTGTGATATAGTATGGCGGGTGAAACAATCATGTCGGTCGCTTACGGATTGGATGTTCAGCCCCAAAACGATCCATACATTGCGACTGCCGAGCAAGGAGTTCATCCCCTCGTCGTAGCTGCCGTCCCAGGCGCTTTTCTCGTGGACACCCTGCCGTTCTTAAAATTTGTCCCAGAATGGATGCCAGGGGCCGGATTTCAGACGAAAGCCCGGGAATGGAAGAAGCTTGCATGCAGAATGGTTGAAGTGCCATATAAAGCAGCAAAACAGAGAATTGTAAGTTGTTTCTCGTGAGGAAGTGATGGATTGCCTCAATTTGAACGCCAGGCAACTGGCACGGCTCCGCCGTCCTTCACCTCCTTTAGCCTCCAAAAAATGGAGTCTGGTACTCGTGATGATGCATATCAAGAGGATATTATTCAAGGGACCGCTGGTACCCTTTATGCTGGTACGTTCCATGCTTACAAGAAAACTTTGCGGATCTCCTAACGGACGTCTTTCAGCTGGATCGGATACCGTGCGTAAAGAGCTTTTTTCGCGGTGGTACAACCAACAACATCCCATCACTGTTTTAGACTGTTTCTGCGATTGCCTCTTGCATATTGGGTCTGCTCGATAAACCCGACGTATTGAAGCGAGCTCAGGCCGAGATCGACGCCGTCGTCAAACCGGGTCATTTGCCCGACTTCGATGACGAAGAGTCACTTCCCTTTATTACAGCCATCGTGAAAGAAACCCTCAGATGGAGGGATGTTGTTCCGATAGGTGGGTCGCTTCTCACCTCAATTGGGAAGCGGCTGATAATAACCCATCCAGCCATTCCCCGGCTCCTCGACTACGACGATGAATATAAAGGTTATCACATTCCTGCGGGTTCTATTATCATTCCTAACGCTTGGTAAATTCCTCCCCGTGTGCCGTAATGTCGATCCTGAGTTAATCGATTTGTATTCAGGGCTATGCTTCATAACGAAGAAGTCTACCCTGATCCTTTCACGTTCAATCCAGATAGGTTTATGAAGGATGGGAAGATTGACAAATCTGTTAGGGATCCAGCTCACGCTTGCTTCGGGTTTGGACGCCGGTTCGTTTCGTTGATCAATAACCCAAATCAGTGTTTAGATTGTTCTTTGCAGTATCTGTCCTGGAAGATACATGGCTTTCTCCGCCGTCTGGATTGCCATTGCCTCGTTAATTTACGTGTTCGACTTCGAGAAGGCAGTCGATGAAGACGGAAACATCATAGAGCCATCCCACGAATACATCTCTGCACTGGTAGTGTAAGTTTTCTCCAACAATCCCACTTTCACTGTTCTATTCTGACGTTTTGTTTCAGCATGCCGAAGCCGTACAAGTGCTCTATAAAACCCCGATCAAAAGCGGCTGAAACTCTCATTCTTTCTGCCGACAGTCAAGATATCGAATTATAAACAATTCTAAAATTCTCGGAGCCCGAATTTCCTCAAGAACATGGTGGCCCTATGAGTGTATTTGGTCCCCGTAAATCTGAAGGTCATGAGATTGTTCGCCATATAGTTTTGTGCGTCTATTTTGTCCTTACATCAACAATATAATGAACTGAAGTCCAACTGGTCCGCAAAGAATGGCCATTCCAGGAATTTGAATGCGCAATGAAAAACTACTTATTAAACTTTGTGGTAAGACGCGTTGTGGACGCGCGTTGTTTGGTGACAGACACGTGACCTGAACGCTCGATTTAAGTATTCTTGCTCAGTCGCTTTCGATTTTTTATGTGCAGCGTGCAACCGGTCTCCCATTCCCTCAACAAGACTGCACGCGAACATTTTGCTTTGAAAAGCACGATGAAGAGTCACAACACGATGTAACCCTCTCGCGAAACTGCCAGGAGATCGAGGATCATTCCATGCCATTCAGTAGAGGTGAATGGCCCAATTTGACGCTACATGTGAATAGAATACATAGCCGGCACCAGAGCAAACCAATGGCATTTATAGCTAAATACATGTTTCCTACCCAATATTAATTGATCAGCGTAAGTAGAAATTGGTCGATGGCTCAATTTTCTTGGGCCACAGATGGCTATCTAGAATTCAGTTATTCCGGCCTCACAATCTATCGATGAGGTTTGCGGCAGCTTAAGGTGGGTCGGCTAATTTGCTCTTCAGAAAGGGGTTGTGTAAAGATTGTGCCCAGCTGATACCGATGATTCTGAGAATCATATCCTGGTCTACAAAGACGGTACAGAGCCATGGAAGCTGAACGAGCCCAGTCTAGTTGTTGAGGTCGTTGTGCACGCTGAACTTGAACTTGGATAGTTGAAGCATCATCGCCGGTCAATACTCAGACATTTTTTGGCGAAATAAAATGGCTGCGCTGAGTGCACGCTTGCCCTTCAAGGACAACTTTAATATCTTTTTCTGGAACGTCAATCTGAAAAGGTTCAACATACGTTTCAATGTGGAACATTAGCACTGCCGCACACAAACATTTTTCGCTGATCGCATCGCTCATCGTACAAAACCACAGCGTCAGGCGTAAAAAAAACCACAGCGTCCGGTGTAAGAAACTGAGCTCCATGCGTTCTTGGGCATTTAGTTACGAATCCCATACACTTCAGTCTAAGCGGGTAAACACCTTCTCGCCTTCTTTCACGTTTGCATAATTTGCTTAGCCAGGGAGAGTAATACAATCAAATTTACACGGAATCAAAGGGGATCTACGGCAGCCAAATCTCAGTGAAGGACGTTGAGCAGTGAAAATCTTTGAGCGTACCGTCAAACGGGTTAGAGTCAGTTCGCTATCCATTATCCATTATTTGCGTCCTATCCGAGACGCCTAGATGAATGCTGTGCTATGCTGGTCAAGGCATACTGAGGCACACAGGCAATGTGCGAGCTGTTCCATCGCCTCAGCAGCATTGGAAAAGTCATAGAAAATCCTGGCGACTTTCTGAATGGCTTTTTGGGTGTCATGCCATCACTGCTGGGATCATTTTAGCATACACGTAGTAGCGTAGTACTCCACAATGAACCTGCCTTTTTTGCGTGTGTTTTTATTCTCGATAGAAAACTCTCTAACTCCGCCGTTGCTCTGCAAACACACCGCAGATGATTGTTAATTCACTGTTTCATCGCTTTTCAGCGCTGAAAAGTAGGGCAACGAGATGCCAAGCAGACTTGGCGGGATCTAGTTGAAGGTCATTGAACAATCATTGAACAGACAACAGCAGAAGGCATGGGCAATAAATGCAAATTCCACTATGCAAAACGTTTCTAAGAGTTGCGCAGTGTGCTGATTTTTCTTCTTTTCGTAGGCCGACGGTATACCTGAGAACAGCTCGACAAAACACCACTGTTTGTGGGCATTGGTGGACCAAACAATGTTCTAAATTTAGAACATACCACTTGATTCAAATTTTAATGTAAAAAAACGGCCATCCTTTGGATTTCCCAGGTCTCAATACGCTTCCAATCTCAGGAAGCTCGCGCAAAAGCCATTAAATTGAAATATTTACGCGGGTCAAGTGAAGGAGTATTGTGCGTCGAGGGTGCCTTAATTCACACTATGTATTTGGCAAGGACGCCACGATCGACGGAAAAACGCAGGAACGCAGGAGATAGAAGTAAGGTAAACCCCAATACATCACGACTCTTTATTCCCCAACCACAAGCTTGGGACCGAAGCTTTTGTCGTTTAACCTGGAGTGCTCAAAAACTTAGCTAGAGTAGACTGGGTTGAATAGCTTACTTACAAACAACTTACAAAGGACAGTCGCCTTTGAGAAACTTTATGGAAATTGTTTAGATCATTTCGACAAAATAATCTATACGTTGCGTTGACCTGCAAATACTCCGATAGGTTGGCGGCTAATCTAAACGCTCAACTTCCCTGAGAAGTCTTGCCCCTTCGAATTATCAGCGGAAAGTCAAGATCTGTTTTACAAGCAAATATCTGCATTTGAATTAATGTTGAAATCACTCTCATCTCTTTTTTTAAAGATACAATACGATATATTCATAGTTCAGCAGGCTTTGTTTGGTGTTCTTTGTCATTTTTGTTGTCGTTTACCTCGATTTGGTAACCGAGATATTGCTTCAGAATCCTCCCATCATGGCTCGTATGCAACTCGCCAAGAAAGCCAAGTGACAAGCTGGTGACAAGTAGAATACAAACTCATCTCACCCTGCATACGGTTCGCGTCCATTATAACGTCCTCGCTTGAGCAATGAGGACCGCCCACAGAAGGTTTGGCGAATCCCGCCTGTCCACTCATTCCCCGCTACATATACATTCACTTTTCTACCTTTCGCTTCCACTCATTGTTCCCCGTTTTCCAAGCTCGAGATGTCATTCATCAAAGAAAAGAACAGCCATGACTCTCCCCAACATTCCATCGTCGATAAGCCAACGTCGAACTACCTCGAGTCGGCTGGGCCAACCTTCGACAAGAGAAACACTGCTAGGCTCCTCCGCAAACTAGACTGGAACATCGTTCCTTTCCTCGCCCTCTTATACCTGTGAGTCACCAGCGATATAAGCCATACCTATACTGATTCTTCAAAGCCTCTCCTTCCTAGACCGCACCAATATTGGAAACGCCCGCTTGGTCGGTCTGGAAAAGGACCTCAAGATGAAGGGTTTAGACTACAACGTACTTGATCGATCCATTTTTCCGTTAAATTCTGCACTCATAACCATGTTGGACAATAGATTGCGCTCGCTGTTTTCTTCCCGTTCTACGTTGCGGCGGAAATTCCAAGTAACATTATGATGAAGAGGACAAGCCCATCTCTCTGGCTCTGCATTATCATGTTGGCCTGGGGGGTTTGTATGTTTTTTCTCCTCCACTCTACTCAGGCTTCAGCTGGCTGATTCTCACATTCATAGGCATGACATTGATGGGCGTTGTGAAAAACTTCGGTGGCCTCCTCGTCGTTCGTTGTGCTCTTGGTCTCGCTGAAGGTGGTCTTTTCCCCGGTGTTACTTTCTACATTACGCTTTGGTATCGCCGACATGAATGCGGTCTGCGCATGGCTATCTTCTTCTCCGCCGCTACTCTTGCTGGTGCATTTGGCGGCCTTCTGGCTCGTGGCATTTCCGAGATGAAGGGTATCGGCGGCAGGCCCGGCTGGGCTTGGATTTTCATTCTAGAGGGCATCGTGACAATCTTCATAGCCTTCTTCGCCAAGTTCATTATCCACGACAGTCCCGAGACGTTAGTCACTTACACTGTTTCCATCAGCCGGCTTCTGATCAAATTCTGATACTTCTTTTATACAGTGCTCGTTTCTTGAGTGAGGCTGAACGCAAAGAGGTGAAAGAGCGTCTTAAGAAAGATCGAACCTCTCTCGCCGATGAATACGATATCAAATATCTCAAATCCGCTCTCACAGACTGGAAGATCTACGTCCACATGCTGATCACAATCGGTTAGTGTTGCCGTTAAACACTAACCGACTGATTTATATATTATTATTAGGTATTTATACCCCCCTATACTCGATCTCGCTTTTCCTCCCTACCATCGTCAAGAACATGGGCTACACCAACAACGCTTCCCAACTCATGACTGTCCCCCCCTACGTCTTGGGTTGCGTTACTACCATCACTGCTGGCTACGTGGCAGATAAAACGAAGAGGCGTGGAATTTATATGATGATCTTTTGCGTCGTCGCCATCCTCGGATTTGTTTTATTAATTTCTACCCGTAATCCACATGTGCAATATTTTGGTACCTTCTTGGTCGTTTCTGGGTCAGTGTGCTGCGTTACTATTTTTTTCGCCGGTTATTGACATGGTTCATAGCATTTATCCCAACGTCCCTATGGGTGTCGCTTGGAACGGCAACAACATTGGTGGTTCTACTAAGCGCGCTGTTGGTATTGCCATGCATGTCGGTCAGTGGTTTTATTTCCTCATACTTAACGAACCTTAGTTTTCGTTTGCTCAGGCTTCGGTAATCTTGGTGGCGTTATCTCTGGATTCTCATTTAGGTCCACCGATGCTCCTCGTTTCTTCCGAGGTCACGGCCTCTTGATCGGCATGATCACCATGAGCTTCTTCCTCTGTCTCTTCATGCATCTCTACCTCGTACGCGAAAACGCTCGCAGGGATGCAGACATGGAGAGACTGGGCCTCACACTCGAGTCTTATTCTGAGGATCAGAAATACCAAGAACGCGAAAAGGGTGACAACGCCTCGGTGAGTACCGACATCCACGCCAGCCAGCAGTTCACTCAATGATGTTCAGTTCTTCCGTTACACCGTTTGAAACTGTCGCCCTACACACACCTTCTAAACTGACACTGGCTGACACTTCTCGCATCTCTTTTTGTTATTTTTTGTCGTGTGACCACATCACCTACCGCTCCTTGTACGTACTAATGCCAGACTGACTGTGTGAATCGTCGATTCTCGGAATGTATTGTTTCCTTTTAGATGACGCTGGCATACTTGGATGTTGGAAGCGCTGACTCGGAACCTAACTTGTGATTCTTTCACAGGTTTTTTTTGATCGACATAATTCCATACGAATAGCCAAGAAAGCCAAGGTAAGGCCAAGAGGCCGCTCAGCTGTCGCTAAAAAAGGAATGCCAGGCCAAGCCCGAGCACGCCTTTAGAGATACAAGGCTGAGAGTTTGAGCGTCGAACATCCGGAACTGAGTGCCATCTTGATGCAAGGAGGTTATTCCCGTATTTCGAGAGTCCGAACTGCCGCCGATCCGCCTGTCCGCCTAAGGCACATCGTCACGTGTACATTTTTTGGTATGCGGAGAACTATCGCAACTGTTGGCGACCAGGTCCCCCCAAAGGTAGCCACGAGGATCCCACAAAACTTGAGTAAGTATTTTTTTTTTTTTTTTTTCGAGTCAAATTTAGAGTCTATTAGGGCGAGGCCCTATGTCAGACTTTACAACTTTTTGTAGACTACCTATGGCCCCTAATGCCATGTATTCCTGACCCCCTTGAGATTGCCCCATGCACTGGTGAGGGCACGCCCACAGCGAACATTCCCCCATCCAGCCCGGCACAAAAACGCCGTTTTGGGGCACATCCATATAGGTAAGCGGGGTAGTCTCGTCTTCTTGCTTATCTGTGCAATCCATCTTGGTAGTGTTTCGGCCTGTTGTGATACGGAATAGGAGAATACGCGCAGACTCGCTTACATAATCTTGACTTCTTGACGATTATTGTACGTAGCAATCTCTAGACATTAAACCACCATCATCTTGCTACCAAGCTCGCGTGATGAGTCTAAGGTGTCCACTGCTGGTAAGACCAAGGGTGAGCCCCCTTACAATGCTCCCTCCTCCACAGGATACGAGAGCCCTTCCTCTGGGTTAACGAGGGTCTGCCTAGGACTTCTAGGCAACCCTAGGAGACGAGCGCGACCTCAATAGTCGCGTTCTCTCCACTTACTTCTATTCATCGATACTATACTACAACATTCAACTACGGTACTACGAGACTTCACGCGCACGAAGTCCCCGCACGCACTGAGGTTTCACATTGGTGGGGGCACCGCGGACTTCACATCCGATGTTGAAGTCTCGCTCCGGGAGAGCTCGGAGGCTGTTGATCACGTCATAGTAAGTATGACTCATCACTTACGAGTCACATCGTTCCTCCATCCCTCTCCCTCGCCGTACCGTCCACTACCCACTCCTTTCCACTCGTTGCTGAGCGCAGTCCCTCCTGCGTTCGCGCGAGTATGCCCTGGAGCGCTGCCACAGCGTTCACGGTTATTCGACTCACCTTAGTAATTCCGATTATCCGAATTCAGTTAGTCGTCTAGCCCACCGCTAGATCCTTCACCCATCGCCCTCATTCATTCAGTCCACCCCTCTCCCAACCGACTCTACCCGATTTAGCTATGCCACACACACCGGATGAAGGATCTTCCTCGACTTAGTCGGCGAAGTTTTACGATCAGACAGGGCGCCGCCAGTGTATATAAGAAATAGACTAAAGTTTCGTCTCCTTCAGCTACACTACCATGGCTACCCCTTCCTTATCCAACACCGACAACGCCGACCCCTCTGACAAACCAAAAACTACCGGTCGCTCAACCAGAGCTACCTCCAAAAACCTTCAACTCGCGGAAGAGAGCGCTAGAGGTGCTAGCACCCCAGCTGTTCCTTCTGCTAAGGGAAAAACGACAGCTACGTCGCCAATTGCGGAAGAGAGTGCGAAGGGTGCTACTACCCCCGCTGTTCCTCCCGCGAAAGGGAAAGCGACAGTCGCGTCACAAACCAAACCATCTAAGCCAGGGTTGTCTTCACAGAAAGCTCCAGCTCCACTACCCCTTCCTCAGTCGGGTTCCAGCGCGCCGCAAGGCAGCGTTGTGCCGATCAATCCTCCTGGCCGAAACCTAGCGTTTTTGCATGAGACAGGACAAATCCTTTCGGATGCGCCATCGCTCACTTACTTGACGACTATATCAAGCATCTCTACGCTAGGTGCCAAGGATGCAACAGTGCCTACGGAGCATCATCGTATCTTCGAAGGCATCGCTACCTACGAGGAAGTTATGATCTATGACGAGCCCTTGTCGGCATCCCTGGCCCGTTACCATCGTCAGTTCAACTCAGCCATTGACGATGACCCCTTGATCTACTTTGGGGGTGTTGACGGGAGACTTCCCGGGAGATCCTTAGAAGACTCTCAGGGAATTAGAGATCTCCTATGGCGCTGGTACTCGCCTCACATTGACGGCGTTTGGAACAATCTCCCATCGATAATCGACCAGTTCCATAGGATCAATCTTGATCCCGAATATATCAACGACTACACTGTGGACTCGGTGAAGTATTATTCGGTGGCGCCCATGTTCCTCGAAGAAGTGGCCCAGATCTTCTTAGCCATGTATCAAGTACTCGACGCCTTTCAAACCTTCTTGGAGGAGGGCGATCGTCAACCATTCGCATTCGATCCAGAATGGAAGATGCTCAGGATGCTAGCCTGGCATACTAACAAAAAGGACATCTTAATTGGTTACGTAGTCTTACAACGACGATGCGAAGTCTGCAACTCCCACATCAAGGAATATTTCAACGCGATGCGAAAGATGTTCCTGCAAACGGATGAACAAGAGTCCGTCAGCACCATGTACTCCACTCGCCCTTCGATTCGTTCCCAGTTTGGACGAGGGTCTGCGCGTGAAGAAGTCGGAAAACTCCTCCTACGACCGGATTACGATTGTATTCCCGCTGCATACCGAGATGGAGTCACTCCTCTCACGGAAGCAGCTGTAGCTGCTGCCAACAGAAGGAATGAGAAGATTCCCTCAAACTTTTACGAGGCCACTCGAACTCGTATATGGAAAACTCTTCCTACCGATGCTGTCGCTGCTGCGCGTTCTGCCAGCAATGCCAGCTACAAAGTCAGAGCGCTGGATCAAGCGTTCGCTAAATCACCGCAGATGGCTACTCCCCCTGCCAACGCCCAGTCCAATCAAGCGTTTTCTCAATATGCTCCTTCGGTTGTTCCTACCACTCAATATGCGCCATCAGCGGTTCCAACTATCGCTACCCAGAGTGTTAAAGTACCGATGCCGGCTTCCATTTCTGTCATCGCCCATCGTCGTCACGCCATCTCCACCATGCCTGGCATGGGGCGAATTGAGCTGCCAACAAATGATACCGCTGTTACAGCGCTCGTGGCCAACACGAGCGTTGAGCAGCGTCCTCGGCCGGTTGTGAAACCTGCCCAAACAGTATTATTCGCTGGTAGGCAGACCCCCCCTCACTTAGCGACCAAAGCTGCAGAACCGCCTCCTGCCCCTGCGAGCTCCGCGCCTTCTCGTTGGACAAGCTACCAGTTCAAGGATAACCGTCCCATTCCGTCGCCTAGCGATGAGGACTTGAGATCCCCTGGCGATCCTCCTCCAGGAGGTGACCCCCCGGACGATGATGCTGGAGGCAATGGTCCAGGCGGTGGAGGCGGTCCTAATAGCGGTCCCCCTGGAGGCCCTCCTAGTGGTCCTCCTGGAGGAGGCGGGGATCCTCCCCCTAGCAATCCGTCGGGGTGGGTCAGTCAACCGTACTCGCCCTTTCCTTACTCGGATGAGTGGCAGCTTAACCACAAGCTCAACTCATCCGTTGTACCAGCTTGGGACGGACACGGTTCTACTGCCATCGAGTACATCAGCTCCATGTCCTTCCTCGCTCGTATGAGCGACAAAATGAAGGAAGGTGTCGCAGCTATGGCGCCGTATAAATGGTCTGGCCGTGCAAAAAGCTGGTGGGAATGCCTACCCGTAGCGGATCAGATCTATTTCCGTCAAGATTGGGAATACATGATGGTGGGCCTCCGGATTCAGTTCCTTGATTTACGTTGGTCGCGTGAACGGCTCTATGAGTTCGAGGCTATGTTCTTCCGTCAGAAGGGACACACTACAGAAGATCCCATCGACTTCATACAGCGAAGAGTCCGCCATCACATGTTCCTTCATCCCGAAGATCTCGATGGTCCTGGCGCAGTGGACCGTATCTTGCGCAACCAACCTATTGAATGGGAAAAGGATCTTAATGACGTTACTTGTCCGTCCATATTCGCGTTACAGAGCGCGGCTAGTCGTCTCGCTACAAGCCTAATTAATGACTGGCAAAGTAGCGAGATCCGCGCTCGTAACACAGCGGTTGGCCAAGGAGACAAGTCGTCTATCCCAGGCAAGGGGCGTTACGGGCGATCAGCGCACCTCGTCTCGGCGGATACTCCTGCTGAGCCTCCAGCCTTAATTCAGGATGAAGGCAGCGACTCGAGTACGGACGAAGGCGCCGAAGCCTTTGCGGCGACCTTCCGTAAACGTAACGAGAAGAGCGGCACGGCTGGTTCGTCTAAGTGGCCGAAAGGCAAAGTCATGAACGGCGTTGCCTTCCCTAGGGACGATAGTATTAAAAGTGCTAGACCCCCTAATGGCTCCTGTTTTATCTGTGATAGTCCTCACCACTTCGCAAGAGACTGTTCACACTACGGGAAATGGGACAGCCTTCGTAGTGCTAATTTGATAGACGTAGATTTAGACCACGAAGTAGAAGCCGCAGCAGACCGAGAGTATTTAGCTATGCTCGCTGAAATCAGGGCCGAGGCCTCTTCTTCCGCTTACGCCGCTAAACTAAGTAAAATCTCCAAGGAAGCGTTCTGCATGAGCGCTGAGATGACGGGCGCCAAAGCTTTACACGCTAAAGCCACATTTATGAATGATAATCGAAACATTCGCCGACGTTTGGCCAGCGAACCTAAGGGCAAAGATAAGGAAGACCTGGACCCCTTGAACCCAGGCATAGCGCCATTATCGAGAGCTAAGCGTCGCCTCAGGGACAGCGCTAAGCCTCCATCTTACTCCATGGCACCTCCCCCGTACACTGAAGATTCGAAAAAAGAGATCCTGATAGCGCCCAAGGGTCGTTCCTTCCCCGAAGGGTTAGGTTCCTTGGGAACACGGGCTCTTCATACCAAGGCGTACGTATCTTCTACAGACGGGGAGGTCGTTCAGGCGCGATTGGACTCAGGTGCGGACATTACCTTAATGTCAGAAGATTTCTGGTCCTCTATCCCGGGGCTACCGAAACCCAAGGATGGATTACGCATGAAATTATATCACCTCACGGGCGCAGCGAAAGTCCTAGGTTACATCCGAACTACGCTGTTTATGCCTGCAGACAACGGCACCTTCATTAGTTTCGATATGGAAGCTTATGTAGTACGCAACATGCGTGTACCTCTTCTACTAGGAGAGGACTTTCAGACTACATACGAGCTAGGGGTTACTCGGTACGCCACTGGTCACTGTAATGTGCACGTAGGACGGACAGGCTGGGTGATCAAAGCGTCATCCGCTCAGCGAGTTGATCTCGGTTTCGAGATTAGGCAAGCTCAGACGACACAGTCGTTCGTACGCGCTAAGGCCGCTCGTCGGGCCAAGTGGCTTAAACCTATACAGGGTGACCCCCCAGTCTATGCGGACGAGGATAGCATCATCCAGCCACACTCAGTCAAGGGTGTCCGAGTAACTGCACCCTTCGCAGGACGTGAGGACTGGCTCGTAGAAAAGGTCATCATTGGATCTGAGGACGGGGATATTCTAGCAGCCCCCACTACGTGGATTAATGCGTCAGTACCCGTCCTACCCATAGCCAATCCTAGCGCTTTTCCGAGGATAATCCGAAAAGGCGAGTTAGTAGGGTACTTGCTCGATCCGAGCTGTGC